AAATGAATGAATATTAATGAAGGAATAATATCGCTAAACAGCAATCCATTTATCAGCCAATTAAAGGGGATGGGTGGGAATGGAAAGCAGCGTCTGTTCCGGCACGCGACCCCTATATCACTGCAGGCGACACAGTCAAAATAATAGTAAGAAAACATAAATTTTACGGGACTCGACTGTCAAGGGCAGCTTGCTAAAACTGTAAATTAGTTCACTGTGAAATTTCATCTCGAGGGGACGCGGCCATCCAGCTGCACGCGGACGGCATCGAGTTCCCGCCCGATCTATCGATTCGGCGTCGATACTTGATTCCGACACTGGCAGCCCGTTTCCAGTTTTCTGCCTGGCTTGTTTCCCCTGTTTGCCAATTAAAGGCGCACACAGCCAGACACAGACACACACAGACACACACACACACACACAACACACACACACACACACACACACACACACACACACACACACACACACACACACACACACTGCAACGAGGTGAGCGCGGTGCCGCGGTGCCGCAGATGACGGAGTTTAGGGGCGGGCTCGGTGTTTTCCCTTATCTCGTTTTTTTGATCGTGTCGCACAGCTTCGACTAGTAGTTCGGCACTGTCCCCACTCACTCTCCGCATATTTTTTTATTCTTAATGGTCGTCGCTGTCTCCTAACACTTTGTCGTTTTTTATGTTGCCACCAAGCATAAAAACGATGTGTGTGTGTGCCTGACTTCCCCGGCCGTACCCCACCCCACCCCCCGCTGCGGTCAAAGTGTGCGGAGCTTGCACGGACGTATAGAGTACTCCACGGCCACCTTTCTATTTCCAGTTTCTATTTATTTTTTTCATCTCTCCCTCCTTTTTGCTATTTACATAGCCCAACGCAAAATTTTCAGTGTGCCGCGTTGGGCGCGTTGGTTTTTATTTTTAAATCTGCCTGAAAGTGCAGTGAATCGTTCGCAGCGCTACTGCACCTCGCAGCGATCGGGACCGCATCATTTGGAAGTTCCTCTGGCTGGAAAGGGGTAGGAAGCCAACCCTTAGATAAATGGACTCCGAGCAGCACCGATAGCGTAGACCATACGTCACTGAATTTTTTTTTTTGTATTTCCACTTTTTTTATATTAAATGCTGGAGATAAACTTGTCTTTCGCACGCCCATCATTAAGGCCGGCTGGAATGACATCCCGCGGGCTAAACGATGTCACGGGACGAACGGGTGCAAGAGAGAGACGTTATGGAAATTTTATGAACCAATACAACACATTATAACTTTTGAGACTCTATGTACCGTGGCGTCTCCCGGCAGCGCCGGCACCAATCACTCATGAGTGGTGGAGCACTCACGCGGCAAAACCCGACGCCAACCCGGAAAAAAAAAATTGGATGGGAAGTGGTTAAAGGGCCGAGGACCGGTCCGGGGGAAACTGGGCGCAATTCTAGGCCGCGTGCTTATCCATCGGCTTGCTCCACTGCTGCTGCAACTTGTTGGACGCCCTCACCCAGGCCCTCACCTCGCCCGGGCTCACCCAGTGTGCCCAGCACCCACGGGCTCGTGAGCCAGAGGGGCTACCCCGGCCCACCGCCGCGCCCCCCAGTGGCGTGCATTGCATTTCTAGCGCGAACCGTTAGCCCGTATGGGCGGCACGGCGGCACGGCGGCACGGCACAGCGGCACGGCGTGGCGGAGCACTGTACAGTGTACGAGGTCGTGCACTTGTTCGATTGCACCTGCCTTTGTCATCGGGACTTGTTATCAGCGAGGCGCAGTGGCTACGCGCTCTCTTTGCTCGTTGACGCTCACTCTGTTTCTCCTCCTTCTTTTTAATTGGAGCAAAGCGGGCAGAGGGAAGGGCGGCGGGGCAGCGTTGCGCTTTTCATCGTCTTCCCCTTCGGGCCGCGTCGGGCCGTCGGGCGCCCAGACTTCGCCCAGGTAACACAAGGGGAGCAGCCGCGCTTTGTCCCAGGTATGGCCTTTTGTGGTGAGCGGCGCGCACCCGTTTAGCACGCACGCACACACACGCGCGCGCGCACACACACACACACACACACACACACCACACACACACACACACACACACACACACACACACACACACACACACACTACCCTCGCCCCCCGCTCTTCATTTGCCTTGGTCAAACACATTCAGCTCGCCCTCCGCTTTTGTTCTCGCAGCCTCTCACTCCGCTCTCCTTCTGCTCCTCGTCTCTCCGTCTTTAGCGCGCTTTAGCGTCATTATGTCCACATTGTTCGCGGAGCACGGCGGAGCACCAAATCGGCGTTCGGTAAACACTGCACAGGGGTGCGGCGAGATTGCGGGGTCGTCTGCCGGAATGGGCGCCGTCCCGAAGTGGCTACACTGGGTGTGTGCCTACACTGGACAGGCTGGACACGCGTGCCAACACGCAGTGACCTCGGCGTCACGGACCATCGGGCGGCGGGGTGGGCTGGTTCTGGACAGCGCTTCCGACCACCAAAAGTATACATTTCGGTGCATCTTTTGCTCGCGGCCTCCGAGTGGGGTGGGATGTGTAGCTACCCGCGACTTGTAAATTGATTTCGCGACCGCCGCGGGGTAGACACTCACGCCCCCCGCCCCGCCCCGCCCCCCGCTGAGGGTGGCACTGTGATATCCGATAAGGCAACAACAAGCCTCGCACTTCACGCTCCATTTGGCGACTATTAGGGGCGGCTCGCCACGGCCGAGGCCACGGCCGCGGCCTGCAGGCTGTGGAGGGCTGCACGCGGCGGGGCGCGAACCGGGGAAGCAGCGAAACAGGGACCAGCCCGTGTAACGGCTAGCCGGAAACAGGCCACTCGGTGCAACTCGGTGTGCAGCCAACGTCCAGCCTCGTACGCAAGGCTCGCGCAGGCCGCGACCCGAAGCGACTTCATTGTCGGGTATCCGATCGAAACCAGCGTCAACGGCCAGCCCATCCGAGCTGACCGGGATCCGGGACCAGTCCCGGTGCCTTGGCCGCGTTCCCAGCGCCGGGATGGCCGCGTCCGCGGGGACGCACTTGGCCACGACCTCGGCCACGACCAGCCAATCTGGCCGCACTCGCCCCTCCTCTCACCTGCGGCATCGCGGCGTCTCACTCCCCCTGCAGGGCATGCCCGCCGTGGAGGCCGTGGAGGCCCTCGAGCACAAGGAAGCACGGCCAGCAAAGCAGGGAAGGCGGCGGAGCGAACAATCGCTGTAAATGGCACGGTAAAAGCTGCCGACGGCAGTGCCACGGCAGCGCCGTGCACCGAGCAGTCCGGGCACGGCGATGGGGCACTTGAGCAGCTCGAGAGGCCTCGCCACAAGTTACACATCGTGAGAACCACCAGCACCCGCCGTGCGCGACCACAGGACCTCGGGACCACAGCGCAGTGACGCTGCTGCTGCACCGATTTCCACCGTCCCGACGGCATTGTGCTCCCTGAAGGTGGGCAAGAAGCGTCCCTCCGCGGAGGGAGCGAGAGAAAGCCTCGGTTGTCCTCGGCACAGCCACCGGCCCGCCGACGCGATGGCCGCCGTCCAAGTTAAATTAATTAGTCCCTTTGATATGCGAAGACGACGCGCTTCGCTTCCGATCGCTTCCTTGAATCTCCGCCGCCGACGCGGCAGGCTGGGCTGGCGCGGCTGGCGCGGTCTGCAGGTGGAAACTCCGCCCAGCCCTCCTCTCAAGGCGCAACTTGGGCGGTGATAAGACGCCAGCCGCTCCTTGGCGGTCCCCTTCGGCCTCCGGTCCGCTTCTCCCCGCCGCACATCCTCCACATGATTCTCCTCCCCGTCTTGGCCGGGCCTCGGCTTATCGGCGTCCCTCGCGGAGGCCGCGCCGGACGGCCCGGATTATTGGATTAATTGCGCCACGCCGAGATAAGAGCGGAGAGGGCCTTTGCGGCGCTCTGCGGTCAAGCCTCTTTGTCCTGGTGCTCGTCTCGGCCGCCGCCTCGGCCGCCTCGGTGGCGTCTTGGCCGCGGCGCGCCCGGCCTCGGGCGGCGGGCTTCGCGCACGGCGCGGCCGCGCGGCGGGCTGCCTACTCGCGGTCGCCAGGCGCCGCCCGCCGCCCGGCGTGGCAGCTGCTCTGCAGTGCAGGCTGATTCCGCACGGCGTTTCGTCCCGTCTCTCTCGCGCCGATGCGGAATGCCTCACGAGTGCGACAGAGAGGCGAAGGCGCTGTTCGTGATCGCTCTTGTCGCTCTGCAGGCCTGCGAGGCACTTGGTCTGTCGGGCGGAAGCAGATAAGGCGATAGCGCCGCTCCTTCCGGCGAGACTGGCGAGACTGGGACTCCGCGGTCCCCTCGGACACCTGCCGGCCCGCCGGCCTGCCTGACTCGGATTTGCCCGTCATTCTGGAGACGCCGTGGGATACCGCATACCGTGACCGAGGGACACCGCGCCGCGCCGAACGGATCAACCCGCAACATGAGGGAGGACGGCCTGCTTGCCGGCCAAGCCAGGCCCGGCGTTCTGTGGGACTCAACTTCACCCCCAGCGTCCCCGCCCCGACGGTGCCGGAGGCTGCAGGCCTGGCTGTCCCGCGGGTTGAAGATACTCCATGGCGCGACGCGACGCTACCCCGCGCCTCCCGACGCCATGGAGTATTCACACAGTGCCGAGCCATTGGGTGGCGATGGCAATCGATGGACAAGGCATAACAAATTTCTTCGAAACGGAGGGTGTTTGAGCCATTTAAGGTTCGTGTAAAATTACACGCAGTTGTTTTGTCAAGCGAAGGGCAGCGCAAGCAAAGAATTTGTTTTCCATCTTTATAGTTTAAAATGTAGCGCCAGTTTTCCCCCGTCGGGTCACCAACAACGCAATACTAAAATTAGTATTACCATCGAAACGCAGATGTTACAAGCCGCATATACTTAAGTTAGCCATACACCACTGTCGTTTTTATCTTCAGAAATCCGATGTAATGAAATTATGGTGCTCAAGTCAAAAGGGCCGTCCGAATCCAAAACATGCCGGAGTTGGCAGTGCTCCAACTCTTCGGTCTCTTCCCACTCCACTCTTCACTGTTCAGTGACGTATGCGGCGAATGCGAATGATGCATAGGGAGTGTTCGCTGGGGGGTTAGATAGTCATCAAAATATCTGGATTGACTCGTTAAATTTTAACAATGGACAAAAACGGGAAGAAGGTTATTGTTTGCGACAATGGAACAGGGGTAAGTTGATGCGAAGCAAGTGTAGATTTGTCGTAAGATCGGAAGACCGATGACTGCATCGGCTGACCTAGCCTCACCCACTTAGGCCTGTCTGTCAAACAGTTTCCTATTTTAGACAACACTTCTGTATTTAGCCCACATATAACATTTTTATTTTTGCCCCATAAGAAATTTTATGTGGTTGATGTTCATTTCCGAATCATTTCATGCAAAATTGTAAATTTGTTCTCCTTAACCTAAATCTGTGTTGTTGTCATAGAGTTACTTCATTTATTTTAATGTGAATGGAGATACCTGAGGTATCCTCCTCCTGTTTTTCTTGTCAATAATTTGATATCACTTCTGTAGCAGCGGTATGTTGGTTGTAAATTTTTCGTCTCCCACTACACCATGTAAACAGTAATTTTCCCTGTTACACAGTAGTTTTCATAAGTGGTGTTCTTGTGTTTATTTCTTGTTAATGTGATATTTCTACTCTGTTCTTTTAGTTTGTCAAATGTGGCTATGCTGGATCAAATTTCCCGGCCCATATATTTCCTTCCATGGTGGGACGGCCTATCATCCGAGCAGTCAACAAAATTGGAGACATCGAAGTGAAGGTACAGTTCCATCACTTAACATTTTTTTATGTTGTATATTTTGTATCTATTATTACAACAATGTGGTTAGTTGCTCAATTATGTGTTCGTATTTGCTATGTGATGTATTGTCCATATTATCCACTGTTGTTGTCAACATTGTTTTACATAATTATTATGATACCAAACCAGTCTTCCAAAACTATGTAGAAATCTTGCTCATACTTTGACAGATTCAGCTCAAAAAATATTTGGTGGCCCAAGTTGTTGAACAAGGTTTTCCCTAAGTATATAATGTTTCTCACTATTAGGGACAGGATTCTATATATGTCGGTAATTTCTCATTTCCAGGAATACTGTGTCAGAGTAAGAATTTCGCCTATTCGTAAGCTCTCCTGTGAATGTTTATCTCTGTTTGATTTTTGTTTATCTCTGTTTGATGTTTGTTCATCTCTGTTTGCTTTGATCAGAGTGTTGTTTGGTCCACCTTACGCACTGTGTGAGGCTGAAGAGATTCAAACCATAATCAGTGTCACCTAAATCATGACATTACATTTTTTTGTACTAACCTTGAATCCTGAATCCCTTTTAAAACAAGTCTTGTGCCTTGATACGTGTGTAAAATGCTCCATGCATTTCATTAACCCGTACTTGAGTAAATTTTTACTAAATTTTGTTTCAAATAACTGTGCTTACTAATATTGTGGAGTGGATAGGTAAACCTTCACATGCTGTTTCTGCCATATTTATGGTTTTCCTTTTTTAACCGTACTAACAATTCTAGGGACTACGTTGGAGTTGAAGTTAGGACTCTGTCTTTGATTCATAACCATTCTTCTAATTCCATTCTGTTTCTGTTCCCTACGAACATGTCCGATTCTTAGGACTTGGCCAGTATGCCTGTAAGTACGCATGGTCTCTTATAATATACTGGCCTTCGATGTAATTTTAGATAGCTGTGTATATAGTTTTAGGAAATTTGGTATGGGTAAACATGTAGCACTATAAGTGAAAACATTATACAGTTTGTACACATTTCATCATAGATTTATTATAAATAGAATTTTTTCCTTGCTCTTTGCACAAAAGTTGTGAAGTTTATAATTTTGAATGCAAGTTGTAACTTTAGGGTGTTGATATAAATATGTGGTTTCTTTGTTGCCTTTTTTGTAGGAACGGGCATGTGGAGGAGGGGCTTCATAAGTGTGTGTGGGGGTGAATGTATATAATCCAATTTCTGTAGCAAGATTGTTTGATGGTTTGTAGTGTGTAGGCTGTGATTTAAAAGTGTTTTTTGTTGTCTTTGCTTACTGGCCCTGGATTGTTTAAGCCAAGAATATCATTTAAAATTTAACATTTATCTGCACCTATGCTCAAAGATTCTATCCTCTCCTGAGTTGGCATGATGTATTTGCAAGCAGCATGATCAGCCTGCCTGAAAAATGCCCCAGTGAACCTAATTATGTTATGTTATATTCTTTTCTTATTCTAAGAAAAGAGTTAAATTTTTGATAGTTTGTATAAATTAAATTTGTTTTTCAGTCTCAAAATTTTCAGGCAATTTCCTCCTTTGTCGATTGAAAGCTAAAAAGGTATTGTTTGTTCTCAGGATCTTATGGTTGGAGATGAAGCAAGCAAATTACGGTCAATGCTTGAAGTCAACTACCCAATGGAGAATGGCATTGTCAGGTAAGTTTTAGTGCTCAGTGGCTCTCTGTTTAATTTTGACTTCTCTCTCATCTGATGTTTTCTTTGACAGAAATTGGGATGACATGTGCCATGTTTGGGATTATACTTTCGGCCCAGAAAAAATGGACATAGATCCAAAGGAATGCAAAATTTTACTCACGGAACCACCTATGAATCCAACAAAGAATAGGGAAAAAATGATTGAGGTATCCACAAGACATTTGTCTTAAAACCGTTATCTCTGTAAGAGCATTCCTTATATATTCTGTGTAAATGTTACAGGTTATGTTTGAGAAATATGGATTTGCTGGGGCATATATAGCAGTTCAAGCAGTACTCACACTCTATGCTCAAGGTCTCATCACAGGTGTGGTGGTAGACTCAGGGGATGGTGTAACTCATATTTGCCCAGTATTTGAGGAATTTGCTCTCCCGCATCTCACCAGACGCCTTGACATTGCTGGACGAGACATCACACGGTATCTCATTAAGGTATCAGTCAGTCTGTTTAAGAAAATCAAATAGTTATCTTACATAACATTGTGTGCTGTATCTACATACACTTATGATTTGGGAGACTCCTGAGCTAACTATCAATTTTTTATTTATTTTTTTGCTTAATCTTCTGTTTTGCAGCTTTTGTTACTTCGAGGATATGCTTTCAATCATTCTGCTGACTTTGAAACAGTTCGAATGATGAAAGAGAAACTCTGCTATATTGGCTATGACATTGAAACTGAACAGAAGTTGGCCCTGGAGACAACAGTTCTTGTTGAACCATACACAGTATGTATTTTTGTTGTATTTTTCACTGCAATTCAAAAGTACTTATTTCTGCATCTTTCTTATCCTGCGTCAATTTCTCTCAGCTTCCTGATGGCAGAGTAATCAAAGTAGGTGGTGAAAGATTTGAAGCTCCTGAGGCACTCTTCCAACCGCACCTTATCAATGTTGAAGGCCAAGGTAATCCCCAGTTTATTAGTGAAAAAATTTAAGCACTGTAGTACAAGTTATTGCCTTGTCTTGTTTAACAATTGGAAGCATGTACAGCTCTTAAACGTCATTGGTTTTTTTTTTTTGCCAGGTATTGCTGAACTCGTTTTTAACACTATTCAAGCTGCTGATATTGACATGCGGTCCGAACTTTATAAACATATTGTTCTATCTGGTGGTTCTACCATGTACCCTGGTTTACCGAGTCGATTAGAGCGTGAAATCAAGCAGCTCTACCTGGAAAGAGTGTTGAAAAATGATACTAATAAACTCTCCGTGAGTATTTAATAAAGTCAAATGATGCTTAATACCAAAGAAATTGCAAGTTAAGCGGCATCTAAATCATGTATTAATTTTGCAGAAATTCAAAATTCGAATTGAGGATCCACCTAGGCGGAAAGACATGGTGTTCATAGGTGGTGCTGTGCTAGCTGAGGTATCCAAAAATTCAGACACCTTCTGGATGACAAATGAAGAATATCAAGAAAATGGAGTTGGAGTTTTGAAGAAGCTTGGAGCCAGGGGCAACTAAGGTACCTTTCTGTAGCTCATCATCAACATTTCAAGCTGAAAGAAAACTTCTTGTCTTAGATCAGATCCATTTTTTAATTGATGTTATGAAATGAAGTCCAGGTGCTTCAGTGTGTGCTCTAGTCCACGTAAGTGTACTACAGTATTCCAATTCTTGCTTTCTATTATAAGAAAGGTTACCGTTGTGATATTCTCGGAGCATTTAAGACAAGTGTTCTTGTGAATTTACGTAACCTTGTTATGAGAGTATGAATGTAATGTTAGGTATGTATCTAATGTTTCTGGCTGTCCCAGAATTATTTTTTCTTTTTTGTACATGATAATTGCTCCAACACACAATTGCTGGGTTCATATTATGTTTACGTATTGTAGATAATTAACTACCAGTGCTGCCAGCAAAGTTGATAGTAACAACAATTTTTAATAGGATTTTGTACTGATGTTCTATTTGAGATCTTTTTCTCTTTTAATCATGTTCCAATACAACAGTACTGTCCACCTACTGTCAGTTTTGAGATTTCTGCTGCAAGCATTTGTATTTTGTTTAACTTGTATGTATAAATTCTTTCCCCAGAACAGGCTTGAATATCAGTACAAATATGTTTTAGCCGCATTATTTATTTCCTATTCTTCATCTTTTTCTCTGCTATGTAGATTGGTGTGCCTCTGCTGAAGTTCCTACTAGGCTGTAGAGGGCACTTTACCACAGGGTTCACTGACTTAACTCAAGCCCTCCATACTGAAGAAAACGACACACTATTTAGTTAAGCTAGTGAACCCTGCTTTACCATCTTTTATTTGATACAACCTGTTGTATTTATAAAATAATAAAACAATTATTGTGTATGTAAATGCCATATATTTGATATGATTGTAAACAGTTTTTTAGCTTAAGGAAATCATTGGTACTTAATGTTGCGGTATTTGATTCAATTTTTTTCCACTCCTTTCGAGTTTTCTTGGTTTTTGCTTTCCTTTCTAACTCAGTATAAGATATTGGACGTGGTGATCGTCTCGAGTTGTGAGAGGTGAGGAAGAAGTATCTTCTTCATTATCTTTCTTTGAATTAATTTTGATGCCAACCAAAATTACCTTTGTAAAAACATGTGGCTTAACCCTTCTTGTTTTCTTTGTACAACTTATTGCTCAGGAAGAAATACTGGATGGGAAGTAACCTTGAGTGTACTCATGTTTGCATTCCATTGCTTGTAGAGCAAATAAGTTTTTGTACCCAAATATTTTTTCCCCTGTCCTTTTATGTTATTACAAGTTTATTTCTTTGCGCTTATGGAAACCATATGATTTCATAAAGGATTTATAATAAATGTGAGTATGTGTAACAATCTTTGTACTGAATTCTGTATGCATTTACTGTTGTTCTAATTTTATATGAAATTGTTAAAAAAAAACGGATGAATGCAAATAAACAATACAATGTATGTTATATGCTTGCTTTATTATCAAGTCAAAGTGAAAGTCAAACAATCGTATAGGAACATGAAGGACCTTATTACCTGTTGAAGAAGGGAGGCAAACACATTTGCTTACTGAAGTTGGGGTCAGTTGCTCTGCTGACTCCACCCCACATCGAACTTTGAACTTTGTCATTTGTTGATTCCCCAAGCATTTCCTTGAAAGGGAAACTGACAACAGGAAAACAAAACTGAAACCAGGCCGTGGTCCCCGTGGCACGTCAGCCAGGAAGCCGACAACAAGATTCCCGTGAGGTCATCGCTATGCGTGGGGCGTGGGGCAGTCCCTTCGCGCTTCGTGTTGGCGGGAGGCGGGGGCTTCCTCGCCTCGGAATGCCCAGAATGCCCAGCATGTGCACGACGGAGGCGCAGACGGAGACCGGCACGCAGCGCGCGCAGCGTGATGCAATGCAGGCCTCCTCGGAAGCCTCGGCTGCCTCGGCGGACGCCGCTTCGAGAAAGTCGTGAAATGGTTCTCATGACCAATGACGGAGGGGAGGGGAGGGCGGTTTGGCTAACGGCGACGTGCGTCCATGTCGTGTCCGCGCCCATTGATTCAATGAACTGGGGGAGGGGAGGCCGGCCTTATCAACGCCCGTCCGTCCGAGCGAGCGAGCGCGTCGCGGAGACACAGCAGGAGATAAAGATGGGAAAAAAGGGGTTGCTGCTGCTGGCTGCTGCTGCTTGCGGCGGTCAGAGTCACAGCGACATGCGAGGCCCCAGTCAAGACACAGCCGCGGAAGCAGAGCCACACTGAGCAGTGCGAACGCAAACAGTCCGAGTCGGAGACAAACCGCTTGCCGTAGGCCGCAGCCCCAGCGGGGGCCATGACAAGCGCGTTCAGCGAATAGTCCCCCGAGACTGCACCAGCGCATCGACGCTCCGAGATGGCCGTCAAGGCCCTGGCCGAGGCCGCGCCCCGCCTGCTCTGCGGGCTTTTGCTGCTGCACCTGCTGCTGCAGGGCTGCGTCGCGGTGAGTTGGCGTCGTCGTTGGCGGCGCACCGGGGTGTTCCGCGGAGGGTGGGATGGTCGCGGATGGTCGCAGTCACGGCGCTCTATGCCTTGGCAGATTTACGATCCCGGTGACGACCTGGACGACGTCACCACCCCCACCAACTTCGACGACGACGAGGGCGCCGGCGTCCTCACGGTGCACGCGGGCAAGAAGAAGCCGCCAGTGAGGTCCTGGGGCGCGCCCGCCGTGCCGCCCACCCCGCCCCCAGCCCGGGACGCTCGGGACAACCCCTGCCCGGAGAGGGGCTGGAGGAAGAAGCGGGCGGCCAAGGCGGCCAAGCCGACGCCCGTCCGCATCAAGCTGGACCAGACCAAGGCCAAGCGGGACGTCAGTGACTACCACTGCCCGGAGTCCTGGAAAGGTGGGACATGTCTGCGTCGATGTAATCGGTATTTACATAGTTGTCGTCCGCCTTGACACGTTCCTCTGACGCGCAGAGCTGAACTTCCTGGAGGTGGAGGAGCTGGAGTGCCCCGACAACGCGACGGGCTGGTTCCCCTTCCCGCCGGACTGCCGCAAGTACCTCAACTGCTGGAAGGGCCGCGGCTTCCTGCAGGCGTGCGCCCCGGCCACGCTGTTCCACCCCATCCGCCGCGAGTGCGACTACCCGCAGAAGGTCAAGTGTCTGCCCAACTGCCGCTCCGGTGAGTCACCACTTGGCCCAGTTGCATTGGGCGTGGGGCACTGTACTTAAACTACTGTGTGTCGGGGCGTAGGTCCGCCAGCCCGCGGCACCGATAGCATCATCGACGGCGACCCGACGGACTTCGAGGACCCCGACGACCCGAACGCTGCCTCGCCCCTCCTCGACGTGCGCTCTGCAGCGGGGCCTCTGAGGCGCGTCCCCCCCGGACACGCCGACGCCACTCCACCCCCTCGCGCCGGTGAGTAGAGAACCGAGATCGAGAGGTAGAATCTAAAGGCGGAGCCTGTGCCGCTGGACTCGCAAGTGCGGCGCGTTGCCTACCCCGCACCTCGCAGGCGCCAGCCGCTCAGGGCCGCTTGCTCCTTGGCGTTGCAGGCCGCGGCCGGCGGCAGACCTTCCACAGCGCGCGCCTCGCCGGCGCCGGCGGCGTGCAGTGCCTCATGGAGGGCGGCACCGGGCTCGCGGCGCACCCCGTCGACTGCACCAAGTTCATCAACTGCTGGCAGGTGCGTCCAAGTGATACAGTGGAACGGAACGAACCGACCGCTGCTGCAGGCTGTAGGGGATTCTAACGGGATTCTGTTCCATCTCAGGGCAAGCCCCACGTGCAGAGCTGCGCCCCCGGCACGCTGTTCAACCCGCGCTTCAACGCGTGCGACCACCCCAACAAGGTGCCCGAGTGCGTCAACGGCAAGCGAGACCCCTCAGCCGCCACGGTGGCGGCCACGACGGCGCGGCCATCCAGCTACCGCCAGCAGGACTACACGCAGAGCTACACGCAGGGCCACCAGCACGGCGGCTACAACCAGTTCGGCAACCAGGGCTACCAACCGCCACCCCGGCAGACCTTCCACAGGCCGGGCCCGGACGGCCAGGACGCTGACCAGACCGCCGCGGCGAGCTCTTTCCAGGGATACGGACCGAACCAGGTAAGGCTCGCGGCCGTTCGGTCGTGTTGCCCGCTTGGCGAGGGGCTTGACAGCGTGGCCCTGCTCCACAGGTGGCTCCGCCGCCGGGCCCCAAGGGGAAGGGCCTGTACCCAGAGCTGCAGCCCCTGCAGCCAGTGCAGCCCTCGCAGCAGTACGGCGGCGGGTCGAATCCGAGTCGAGACACCAGCCCCGCCAGCCCAAACCCGGACTCGGAAGTGGAGGACTTCGGGATCGGCTCTGCTGGTGTCATTGGGCCCCTACCCAATGGGCGGCCTCAAGATGGCCATCAGACGGGCCACCATGCCCACCACGGCCAGGGAGCCGGCCACAGCGAGGACTGGCACAGAGACCACGGCATCCCCATGCCTGCGCGAGGTGGGTGTTGGTGGTGGTGGCAGCACTTGCCGCCTTATCTGCTCTGATTCGCCGTAAATGAAGACGTTTTTATTCCAGACCTACCTCCGGGACACAGCCCCGCCTACCACCAGCAGCACCACCATCACCACCACAACCATCAACACCAACCGGGCCACAACCCCCAATGGCACAGGGATCACGGCGTTCCAATGCCGGGTGGACACACCCCTTCTCAAGGATTCAGACCACCTCAGGGGGGCTACACCCCACAGCCCAGCGGCTACACCCCAACACAGGGTGGCTACAACCACCAACATGGGAGCTACAACCCTCAGCAGGGAGGCTACAGCCCCCAGCCAGGTGGCCGCAATCCGCAGCAGGGAAGCTACAACCCCCAAGGAGGCTACAACCCCCAGCAGGGCAGATATCCTCAGGGTGGCTACACCCCACAGCCAGGCGGCTACACACCTCCACTCGATGACTACAACCCCCGGCCGAGTGGCTACCCCGGCGGCTACCGCCCCCCGGGCTCGCCGAACAACCCCCAGTGGCACCGCGACCACACACCCACTCCGGCCGGCGGCAGGGGTGACTACGGGGGCCCGACCACGCCGGCGTACCCCGCGACCACGACGTGCGAGCCGGACACTGACTTCGACCTGGACCCAGAACTGGACATCCGGAACGGCAACGGCGTGGATTTGGAGTCCGGCTCCAGCAACTGGCTCGACGTCCTGGACCGCACCAGGAACTTCAGCCGGCCGCAGTCGGGACAGATGGTACAGTATCTCGCGCGCTGCGCGCTGCGCTCCCGATGAGACACTGGGAATTTGACCTTACCCGCTCCTCTGTTGGCAGGTGCGCATCCGCGGCGGCCCCACGCCCCTGGAGGGGTACGTGGAGGTGATGGGGCCCGGCTCCCAGTGGGGGTCGGTGTGCGACAAGCCCGCCAACTGGACCGTGGAGGAGGCCAGCATCGTGTGCAGGACACTGGGCTACGAGAGGTAGGCGTTGCGACCATGCCGTTGGGCGATGACGAGCTTGCGCGATGACCATGATGACCATTATGACCCTCTTTGACGTCGCAGGGGCGCCGAGCTGGCGTGGCAAGGCCGCCCCCGCAGCGCCATGGGCGTGCTGCCCGTGCACGTGGAGGAGGTTCTGTGCACGGGGCAGGAGCGCTCCCTGGTGTCCTGCTCCATGCGCTCTGGGGACGCCGGCGAGGGCTGCAACCTGGAGACCCAGGCCGCGGGCCTGCGCTGCTTCCCGAACTACGCGGCGCGCTGCCGCCCCGGGGAGAAGCCCTTCAAGGTAGGGCGGACGACGGACGATGGGCAAGGCCGGTAGTGCAGTGACAAGACAAGGCACGCGCTGTTTTTTCACCTTCTGCGCAGGGATCCTGTTACTCGCTGGTGGTCCCTAGGCAGGACCGCAAGGTGGACGCCATCGCCTTCTCGCAGGACGAGGCCATCAAGCACTGCAAGACGCAGGGCGGGCACCTCATGGACATCAACAGCCAGGTCAGTCTATGCGGGACGGGCGGCGTCCTTCCTTAGCCCAGATTGGCGCCTCGCTGACGCGTTGCCTCCCTTCCCCGCAGGCGGAGAGCGACTTCGTGTCCGAGTGGCTGACGGCGTCCTACCCGGCGCTGGGCAGCGTGCTGACGGCGGGCGTGGGCGTGTCCGTGCCGGGCAGGGACGTGTGGGTGTGGGAGGGCACGGGCGCACCGTTCCAGTTCAACCTCTGGTGGCCCGGCCCGCCCAGCAAGGAGTTCGATTCGGGTGAGGCACACTCTAACGCTGCTCTGTGGTTCCCGGTGGTACGGAAACGATGACAACGGCCTGTCCTTTCCTTCCCGCTACAGCCAAGGCCCCCAAGGTGGGCGAGCGGTCGCTGTGCGTGCTCCTCAAGAAGGACTTCCCCTGCAGCTCGTGGCCGGGCGCTGGCGGCGGTGCGGGCGGCTCAGGCGGTGCGGGCTACGGCAACTGGCAGGGCGCGCGGTCCTGCGGGGCGGAGTACTTCTACTGGCACGCCGAGGACTGCGCCATCAGGCAGAAGTCGTACCCCTACGTGTGTGAACGCAGAGCCGATGACGTGGGTGAGTGAACCGGGGAGGGAATGCCAGGCAATGCGAAGCGCGAAGCGTGCGGAGCTGACTGTAACGCCGCGCCCTCGTTCTGCAGGTTGCCTCGGCCCGAGCGGCACGGAGTACGACGGCACGGCCAACGTGTCGTGGATCGGGCAGCCCTGCGTGTCCTGGGACGCCCCGGCCGCCGTGTCGGCGCTGCGCTACCGCGTGTCGGACGAGGTGCGGCGCGCCACGCTGGCCGGCCACAACCACTGCCGGCGCGTGGCCAGCGGCAGCGCCTCGAGCAGCGACCCGTGGTGCTTCGTGGACGCCGGCAACGCCGGCATCAAGGCGGAGCGCTGCGACGTGCCGCTGTGCAGGCAGAATACAGGTACATTCCAGGAAGGGGACGACGTCGACGACGTGCGCCCCACGCCGTCCCTGTACCAGCCCAACGGCAGGCCTCGCCCGCCCGCGGCGCCCTCTCGCCCCTTCCAGCCGCAACCCTACCCTCCCGCTCCCACACCGCCACCACCACCCAGGCCCAGCAGCTGGGACACGGACGACCCGCTGGCTGAGCCGATCGGCACCGCCACTGCGACGGGGCGGCCGTGGCCCACGCTGCCGACGTCGAGGACCTTCGTGAGAGAGGACGGCGACGACGCGCCCTTCGAGACCACCACTTCCTGGCCCGACCCGTTCGCGGCGAGGGGGCGCGCCACCACGCCCGGCTCTTGGTTCGGTGCGAGGCCCGGGCGGGGCGGGCCGAGCGGAGGGAGCGGGGCGGGCAAGAGGCCTGTGACGCCCACCGCGGCGCCGCGCCCCACCACGACGACATCGCCTTGGAGCGCAGACAGCGATGACTGGCCCGTCAACTACGCACCGGGATTCAGCCACCGCGAGGAGGAAACCCCGGCCGCGCCGCCCTCACGAGACCTGCTGCCGCCCTACGACGACAACGCGCCGCCCGCCGGCCCCACCGGCGCCACCGAGCGGCCCTGGCCCACGCTCCCCACTTCCAGGACGTTCACGTCGCCGCCCACCACGCCCGCGCCGCCCCGCGACAGGGAGGAGTACGAGGCGGGCCGCGAGGAGGACTACCCCTTCGTTCCGGACCCGCTGACCATGCCCTCGCGCTCGCCCATCGTGCCGCGGACGGGCTACGGCGAGCGCCCCGACCCCCGCAGGGGCTACGGCTTGCCCGCCGCCGCCGAGTCCAAGCCCCCCGTGGTGACGGCGCGGCCCCCCGTCGAGCTGTACCGCAACCTGCTGCTGCCCGGCTCCGACTACGCGCCCTACCCGCAGCGCGGCGACGGCCAGGGCCCGCCCTCGTACCGCGACGTGTTCGGGCTGTTCCCCGCGCTCGCGCTCAACTACCCCGGCGCGGAGCGCGGCGCCGACGCCGCCGGACGCTACCCCGACCCCGCGCTGAGCTACCCGCTGCCAAGCCAAGGCACTCCGGGCCGCAGCGACCCGTACTCCAACGTGGGGTACTACCCGAACCGGCCGGCGAGGCGCGGCAGCGAGGAAGCCAACTCCGAGAACGCGTCCGGCGACTCCAGCTCCAGGGAGCGCGCCGGCCGGGGCGGCGGAAGGGAGGACCGCGATGACTCCGGCGAGTGGCCGCCCACGTTCAACGGGCACTCGGGGCCCGCGGGCGGCGCGGTGGCATCGCGGCAAAGTCGCACCGCGGAGCAAGCAGGGCAGGCAGCCCCCGCCGCCACCAACCCGCCCTTCCAGAGGCCCAGCGCCGCGCCCAGCGCGCCCACCGCCGAGCACGTCATGAAGATCCCCAAGCCGGGCGAGAAGCAAGCGAGCGGCCTTCAGGTCACCACGGAGAAGATCTTCTTCATGTGAATGGGCCTTTTCATCCGTTTTCCTCCACCCCTCCTCAATCCGTTTCCTTTCGCCAGGGCGCAAAAGGCATGAGCAACCTGAGCCCACAGCGAACCTCTGTTTGTTTTGTTGACATTCGTGATTTAAAAAAAAAATGATAACTTGAGGGTTCAATGTGTAAATTTTCCGAGAAGGCGGCAAAGCGAAGAGGAGACTCGTGCACTTTATAGACTGTTGTGTTGTTATCTCACTCATTTTATATTTTTATTTCTCATTTCTACTTAACTTCGATTATTTATTATTTATTACATCCCCAGTGTGAACGCTGTGATTCGAATTAGAAACAGAGAAGGTCAGCCAACTTTCCATGTCCTATTGTATTTCTTTTTTTATTTTAGCTGAAGAAAAAATAATAATAAACGTGACCTCGTATTTCTCTTTAGTTTTTCGTTATTTTGTTTTTGATCCTTATTACACGAGAATGAGAAAGAAGTAGGCCCAACACGCGGCCACAATGTTGATGACCAGAGCAAAGCTTTTGCAACACATGCAACATTTCATAAGTGCACGTTTCTTCTCGGAAGCTTGATTGGGCGAGGGAGGGGAGGGGGAGAGAGACCGTCCGGCCACGTCAGTCTGCCTGACCTTGAGACGCCGATGTGGACAGTGATAATTAGGCCACGGCCAAGGCGCGCGCGGAGCAGCGTTTCAAAACAGAAAATAAGCCGTTGTGTTTGTCTGAGAGGCAGCAGTGGCAGGGAAGGCCGACGTGCCGAGAGGGGAAGGCGGGAGGGGAAAGGGGGAGGGAAGGGGCGACGCAAAGACCTGTCCGAGTCCACACCACGCAAGGCTGGTGTTCTGACTCGCGGCGTGCGCCAGGCACCCTGCGCTTCGTTTTGGCTCGCGCCTCGACGAGCTCGCCTCGGCCGCCGCATGGCCACCGCCAGCTAGCAGGCCAATGCCGAGGAGCGTTTCGTCGCCCTCTCTGTCGCTCTCATGGGGCGTCCCGTAGTCCCGTGGGGGTGCGAGAGGGACACGGCGACCGAACGACTCCTCGGAATCGGTCGGCAGGCCCCGCGATAAGGTGCCGTACACTGCAGGGGCACGGGGGTCAGGGCGCTCGGCGCGGCGCAGCCACGGCCGCCATGGCGCAGCCGAGGCCGAGGCACGCGGCGTGCAGTGGCGCAGCGTCGACGACCAAAATAAATATAAAGGGCGTTGGCGACGTGGACGCAGCCCCGCCTGGAAGCGGCCTGCCACTCTCTCCCTCACTCTGATGCAGTCGTCCTGTCCTTGTTGCAGCCATCAGCAGGGCCGCCCTACACTGCGGGCCCCAGCAGTTCGAATGCGGCCCCAACGAGTGCATCCCCAGCGTGTGGCAGTGCGATGGTGAACCGGTGGGTCGGCGTTGAGGTCGGCGGTTCGAGCACCCCGCCGCCGGGATTACCCTTTTTGACAGTGGCGCAGGGAGTTCGAGCCTCACTTTGGGCCTCCGCGTTGCAGGACTGTAGCAACGGCCTGGACGAGCAGGCCTGCTCCAACTACCTGCTGGACTTCAAGGCGGTGCGGGCCGCCAAGCTGGAGCGCCACGACGTGGAGCGCTGGCTGCACCTGGACGCCAATACGTGCGCGCGCCGCTGCCTCGACTCCACGGAGTTCACCTGCAAGTCCTTCAGCCACAAGTAAGGCCAAGGACTAAGGACGCAGTACGCGTCACGTCGTGCAGCGGCGCAGGCGGAGCGCCCGCGGAACTCAGGGTAGGCAACTGTGTGCGGCCGCGTGGTGCGGGTCTGCCTACCCCGAGTTCCGCGGGCGCTCCACCGCACTGGCCGCACGTCCCCGTCCTGCCGTCCTGACGGCGACGCGCCCTTTCCTTCCCCTCCCCAGGAGCTCCACCAAGGTGTGCCTGCTGAGCGGCTCCAACGTGGGCGAGACCGGGTCCCTGGCGACGGCGAACCGCACGGCCTGGACGTACTACGAGCGCGTCAAGCTGAGCGTGGCGTGCGACGGCCCAGCGCGCTTCCAGTGCGCCAACGGCAAGTGCATCAACGCCACGGACAGCTGCAACGGCAGGGACGACTGCGGGGACCGGTCCGACGAGGCCCCGGCCGCCACCAGCTGCACGCCGGCCAAGATCGGCTACGAGCTGCGCCTGGCGGGCGGCAAGGCCAAGAGCGAGGGCCGCATCGAGGTCAAAGGTCGGTGCAGGCACGTCGATGTCGCTTAGAGAAGCTCCAGACAAAAAAAACCACTTGGTCGGCGACATCCTAGGAGCGGGCGCTTGTGGTGTTTTATCGGTTCCTTGTATGTATACGAACTGCCGAAAAGACACTTGGACGAAATCCGACACCCCCTGTGGCTTTGGTACGGGTCTAAACACCCCAAAAACAGCTGTTTTCGAGGGTTTGGGACTAGATGGGTTCTCGCAAACCGAGATCCAAAAAAGTACCCAAATGGGTCTCAGATACTCAAAAAAATGCGCTCTTTCGAATGCCGTGTCGAACGAGGCTCTACGACGTCGGGTTTGGATGCTAAGGGCTCTCAAAGTTGCTCAATTTCACTATTTTTACTGAAGATTTGAGCATATCAGGGCCGTTTGAAGTAGACCATCGGCGATTTCGCTCCTCTTTGTCTTAAATGGTGCCTACCCATAGGTAAACACCCCCACAAAATTTCAGCCATGTCAGGCAATTACTAGAGGAACTGTGAACAATTTAAGTTTTGGGTCATTTTACCACTGGGCTTAGGTAGTTTTGGGTCCAGAAAAAATAATTTTTTTAGCTATCTACTTTTGATCAGCACCTCTTGAAACGCCTTTTTAACATGGTGCCTCAAAACTTTTTTTCAAGGACAAACTTGTCTTTTTCTAGCTGTAATTGGAACATAACTTGGACATACGGCTTTTGGTCTGCCTCATACGGTTTTTGGTTTGCCGCATACGGTTTTTTGTTTGCCCTATACGGCTTTTGGTCTGCCTCATACGGTTTTGATTTGCCGCATACGGTTTTTTGTTTGCCCTATACGGCTTTTGGTCTGCCTCATACGGTTTTTGATTTGCCGCATACGGTTTTTTGTTTGCCCTATACGGCTTTTGGTCTGCCTCATACGGTTTTTGATTTGCCGCATACGGTTTTTTGTTTGCCCATACGGTTTTGGCTGCCTCATACGGTTTTTGATTTGCCGCATACGGTTTTTTGTTTGCCCTATACGGCTTTTGGTCTGCCTCATACGGTTTTTGATTTGCCGCATACGGTTTTTTGTTTGCCCTATACGGCTTTTGGTCTGCCTCATACGGTTTTTGATTTGCCGCATACGGTTTTTTGTTTGCCCTATACGGCTTTTGGTCTGCCTCATACGGTTTTTGATTTGCCGCATACGGTTTTTTGTTTGCCCTATACGGCTTTTGGTCTGCCTCATACGGTTTTTGATTTGCCGCATACGGTTTTTTGTTTGCCCTATACGGCTTTTGGTCTGCCTCATACGGTTTTTGATTTGCCGCATACGGTTTTTTGTTTGCCCTATACGGCTTTTGGTCTGCCTCATACGGTTTTTGATTTGCCGCATACGGTTTTTTGTTTGCCCTATACGGCTTTTGGTCTGCCTCATACGGTTTTTGATTTGCCGCATACGGTTTTTGTTTGCCCTATACGGCTTTTGGTCTGCCTCATACGGTTTTTGATTTGCCGCATACGGTTTTTTGTTTGCCCTATACGGCTTTTGGTCTGCCTCATACGGTTTTTGATTTGCCGCATACGGTTTTTGTTTGCCCATACGGTTTTGGTCTGCCCATACGCGTTTTTGATTGGCAACACATACCGGTATTTGCGCAAATCAAAAACGTATGAGGCAGACCAAAAGCCGTATAGGGCAAACAAAAAACCGTATGCGGCAAATCAAAAACCGTATGAGGCAGACCAAAAGCCGTATAGGGCAAACAAAAACCGTATGCGGCAAATCAAAAACCGTATGAGGCAGACCAAAAGCCGTATAGGGCAAACAAAAAACCGTATGCGGCAAATCAAAAACCGTATGAGGCAGACCAAAAGCCGTATAGGGCAAACAAAAAACCGTATGCGGCAAATCAAAAACCGTATGAGGCAGACCAAAAGCCGTATAGGGCAAACAAAAAACCGTATGCGGCAAATCAAAAACCGTATGAGGCAGACCAAAAGCCGTATAGGGCAAACAAAAAACCGTATGCGGCAAATCAAAAACCGTATGAGGCAGACCAAAAGCCGTATAGGGCAAACAAAAAACCGTATGCGGCAAATCAAAAACCGTATGAGGCAGACCAAAAGCCGTATAGGGCAAACAAAAAACCGTATGCGGCAAATCAAAAACCGTATGAGGCAGACCAAAAGCCGTATAGGGCAAACAAAAAACCGTATGCGGCAAATCAAAAACCGTATGAGGCAGACCAAAAGCCGTATAGGGCAAACAAAAAACCGTATGCGGCAAATCAAAAACCGTATGAGGCAGACCAAAAGCCGTATAGGGCAAACAAAAAACCGTATGCGGCAAATCAAAAACCGTATGAGGCAGACCAAAAGCCGTATAGGGCAAACAAAAAACCGTATGCGGCAAATCAAAAACCGTATGAGGCAGACCAAAAGCCGTATAGGGCAAACAAAAAACCGTATGCGGCAAATCAAAAACCGTATGAGGCAGACCAAAAGCCGTATAGGGCAAACAAAAAACCGTATGCGGCAAATCAAAAACCGTATGAGGCAGACCAAAAGCCGTATAGGGCAAACAAAAAACCGTATGCGGCAAATCAAAAACCGTATGAGGCAGACCAAAAGCCGTATAGGGCAAACAAAAAACCGTATGCGGCAAATCAAAAACCGTATGAGGCAGACCAAAAGCCGTATAGGGCAAACAAAAAACCGTATGCGGCAAATCAAAAACCGTATGAGGCAGACCAAAAGCCGTATAGGGCAAACAAAAAACCGTATGCGGCAAATCAAAAACCGTATGAGGCAGACCAAAAGCCGTATAGGGCAAACAAAAAACCGTATGCGGCAAATCAAAAACCGTATGAGGCAGACCAAAAGCCGTATAGGGCAAACAAAAAACCGTATGCGGCAAATCAAAAACCGTATGAGGCAGACCAAAAGCCGTATAGGGCAAACAAAAAACCGTATGCGGCAAATCAAAAACCGTATGAGGCAGACCAAAAGCCGTATAGGGCAAACAAAAAACCGTATGCGGCAAATCAAAAACCGTATGAGGCAGACCAAAAGCCGTATAGGGCAAACAAAAAACCGTATGCGGCAAATCAAAAACCGTATGAGGCAGACCAAAAGCCTTATAGGGCAAACAAAAAACCGTATGCGGCAAATCAAAAACCGTATGAGGCAGACCAAAAGCCGTATAGGGCAAACAAAAAACCGTATGCGGCAAATCAAAAACCGTATGAGGCAGACCAAAAGCCGTATAGGGCAAACAAAAAACCGTATGCGGCAAATCAAAAACCGTATGAGGCAGACCAAAAGCCGTATAGGGCAAACAAAAAACCGTATGCGGCAAATCAAAAACCGTATGAGGCAGACCAAAAGCCGTATAGGGCAAACAAAAAACCGTATGCGGCAAACCAAAAACCGTATGAGGCAGACCAAAAGCCGTATGTCCAAGTTATGTTCCAATTACAGCTAGAAAAAGACAAGTTTGTCCTTGAAAAAAAGTTTTGAGGCACCATGTTAAAAAGGCGTTTCAAGAGGTGCTGATCAAAAGTAGATAGCTAAAAAAATTATTTTTTCTGGACCCAAAACTACCTAAGCCCAGTGGTAAAATGACCCAAAACTTAAATTGTTCACAGTTCCTCTAGTAATTGCCTGACATGGCTGAAATTTTGTGGGGGTGTTTACCTATGGGTAGGCACCATTTAAGACAAAGAGGAGCGAAATCGCCGATGGTCTACTTCAAACGGCCCTGATATGCTCAAATCTTCAGTAAAAATAGTGAAATTGAGCAACTTTGAGAGCCCGTAGCATCCAAACCCGACGTCGTAGAGCCTCGTTCGACACGGCATTCGAAAGAGCGCATTTTTTTGAGTATCTGAGACCCATTTGGGTACTTTTTTGGATCTCGGTTTGCGAGAACCCATCTAGTCCCAAACCCTCGAAAACAGCTGTTTTTGGGGTGTTTAGACCCGTACCAAAGCCACAGGGGGTGTCGGATTTCGTCCAAGTGTCTTTTCGGCAGTTCGTATACATACAAGGAACCGATAAAACACCACAAGCGCCCGCTCCTAGGATGTCGCCGACCAAGTGGTTTTTTTTGTCTGGAGCTTCTCTTAGCGCGGGAATGTCGGCGATGACAGTGACGCCTGGAACTCTCTCGCAGTGAACGGCATCTGGGGGGCGGTGTGCGACGACGGCTTCGGGCTGCCCGAGGCCGACGTGGTGTGCCGCGAGGCGGGCTACCGCGACGGCGCCGTCGAGGTGCTGAGTGGCGGCGTGCTCCCCGCGCCGTCCAAGCCCCTGCCCATCCTGGTGGACGAGCTCATGTGCGCCGGCAACGAGACCTCCCTGATGCGCTGCGAGCACGCGGGCTGGGGCGTGCACGACTGCACGGCCGAGGAGATGGTGGGCGTGCGGTGCGCCACGGCCGCGGGGCTGGAGTGCAAGGCGGCGGACACCGCGTCCCCCGAGCTCCACGGCGGCTTCGCGTGGGGCGCCATCCTGCAGCTGGCCACCAAGCACTGCCGCCAGTCCAGCCGCGCCTGCCCGGAGAACCACTGGCAGTGCGAGTCCGGCGAGTGCGTGCCCGCCAAGTTCCTGTGCGACTCCGTGGAGGACTGCAAAGACGGCAGCGACGAGCACACCAAGCGCTGCGCGGTGAGCCACTTCCCGTGTTGCTACCAGTGCCCCGTCCGCGCTTCGCGAGCTGACGCAGGAGCCGCGTGTTGCAGGAGCCGATGAGCATGCGCCTGGTGGGCGGCGCCAACCCCAAGGAGGGCCGCCTGGAGGTCAAGGTCTACGGCGAGTGGGGCACCGTGTGCGACGACGACTTCAACGAGGCCGCCGCCATGACGGTGTGTCGCACCCTGGGCATGCCCGGCAAGGCCGCCGTCAAGAAGGAGGCGCACTTCGGCCAGGGCCAGGGCATCATATGGATGGACGACGTGAGTACTCCCCGTTCGGCCCTTCGGCCTTCCCCTACGAGGCCAGCGAGTGCTGGTTGGTGCTAGTGGCCGGACTGCCGGACTGTGCGCAGGTGCGGTGCGCGGGCAACGAGTCCGCCCTGGAGAAGTGCCGCCACGAGGACTTCGGCGTGACCAACTGCAAGCACGACGAGGACGTGGGCGTGGAGTGCCTGGGCGGCGACGAGCAGGCCGCCACGCGCGCCCTGGAGGAGAAGGCGGCCAGCGACCGCCACGTGGACATCAACAAGTACCTGCCCAGCGACTGCGGTACTCGGCCGCCCCTGGAGGACGAGTTCACCCCCACGGTGCAGCTCGCCAAGGTGGTGTCGGGCCGTGGAACGCCGCGAGGAGCCTACCCGTGGCAGGTAAGGGCCGCGGGGTGGAGACTGGAGACGGAGTGCTTGAATTAAACCAGCAACTTGACTCATTCCGCTCAACGAACGCAGGCCAGCATACGCGTGCGCTCCGGACTCAAGTCGGTGCACTGGTGCGGGGCTGTGCTGGTGGGGCCGCAGCACGTGCTCACCGCGGCGCACTGCATGCAGGACTACACCAAGAAGGCCTACTTCGTTAGGGTCGGCGACCACAACTCGGAGGACGAGGACGGGACGGAGCAAGAGTTGGACATCGAGTCGCTCCACTCGCACGAGGACTTCAACAAGAACGTGTACTTGGAGAACGACCTGGCGCTCATCCGGGTGGCCAGCCCCGGGTTCCGCATGACGGACTCTGTGCGGCCGGCCTGCATGCCCAAGCACAACACGAACTACGCGGTGAGGACGCTTTCCAGCGCTGTGGTTGCCGTTGTTTTGCCGCTCCCCTCGACGAAATAAGCCAAAGCCTTTTTCGCTGCAGCCCGGCACCAACTGCTCCATCTCCGGCTGGGGCTCCGTGGGCACGTCCGGCGCGGGGTACTCGAGGCTGCTGCGGTCGGCGTGGCTGCCCATCCTGCACACGGACGCGTGCAGCGCGCCCAGCGTGTACGGCAAGAAGGCCATCGTGGCCGGCATGTTCTGCGCGGGACACCTCGACGGCGGCGCCGACTCCTGCCAGGGCGACTCGGGAGGGCCCATGGTGTGCCTCTCAGACCAAGGTCAACTCTTTACATCTATATGCATAATTTGCTTTTCGTTTTCTATTTTATTTTTTATGACATGCAGTTACATGGGTTTGTTGGAGGGTATGAAATACAATTTTTTCTGTTGGTTTCAGATCGCTTTACTCTGTACGGAATCACCAGCTGGGGTCATGGCTGTGGAATGGCAAACAAACCTGGAGTCTACTCCAATGTGGCTCACTATTTGGACTGGGTGCATGACAAGATTCGAAAGTCTGTTCTCTCCTCTGGCTGAAACGATGAGAGGAAGGTAATTTATTAATGAGAATCCATTAGTTTAAAAACTGTGTTTTATTCACTCCTGCAGCTAATAATCTCAACATACATTCAACATACATTTTCAGTATAAACTAAAAACATTTCATCAAGATATGATACTACCAGAGCGGGATAAACATATGTAATTTTCGCAAAAATCGACACTGTAAATGTTCCATTACAGAGAATGAATAGAAGACATCGGCAAACTTCTGGGTCAGTTGTATTACCTTAAGTAATATACTACAGCAAAATGCTCCTTCATGAGTAATGTGGTTATGATGAGTATATTACGGCAATACTGAAGCAAACTTCATAAACGACATTCCTTAAAAGGCATATTTGTTTTAAAATCTTCTCTTTTCAGAGGAATCAGAGGGATCCAGCCCTATAACATTCACACACTGCCACTTTCCCTTTAAGGCACAAACTAAAGGAAAATGGCAGTTTTTCCTTTGGTGTCATAAATCCAAATGGTCACTATTCCACATCCACGTACCCTGTAGAGTTCATCATGTGGCATATGGAATCAGTGGATAGAATAGGACAATACACATTTTCTTAGAGCTCAGCCTTCTATAAAAAAATAAATATGAAAACAGAAGGACATACACTTTTCAGTAGGAAGATGCCCAAGTGCTTTAGGACAGTATAGTATATTTATATGAGGACTTGAACAGGAATGTAAACCACACACATACACACACACACAATACCGGTACGTCAAATCCAATATTCTCTGTTCAGACCTAAAACAGAAGGTGGAATGGAAAATGTAATGACTTAAGTTAGACTTACAGAAACTTATATAAAGATGCTGTCAGAACAAATGCAATTGTTGAAGTAAACAAGGAAAGATGCATTAATCGAAAAGGGAGACTGACAAACGAAACAAAAACACTTAAATATAATTCAAAGCTTACGGTAGCTACAAAATGTCTTGGTGTTGCAGGTATCACATATCTCAAGCTAAATTGTGAAGCGTAAAACCATAATTCAACAAAACGCTAACATGAATATTTAGTCAATTTTATTAATTTTGAATCCAGTTCAATAACAATAAACATGATGAAGACTCAATTTCTGTTTCAAAGCTTAACACACTTAACACAAAAATATCACAAACGCAAACTTGACAAAAAGACAACAGACTGGTATCAGCTGCTCTTTCCAAACTGACTATGATGACTAGGAGGAAAAATTAACGTTGGATACATATTTTCCATTACTGTCACACTTGATAGGCACAATAAGATTTCAAGGTATGAATGCACAAACCACAATATCTTTGTCATCAAGAAAAGCTGCAAACTAATGCACATGCATCAGTTCTTGAATATTTCTTGCATGGAATTGCTAGATTAAAGATAGATAGATATTGATCAATCTGTTAAGATCTGATGCATCTGAATTAGTACTTGAAACCTCCGACTAAGCATTCAAACTTGACTTTTCAACCCCAAGAAAGGGAGGAATAAAATAAGAAATAAGGAACAAAAAACCCAAAACTTAAAAAATAAACAACAGAACAACCAAGAAAGAAAAAAGAAACATTCCTTCTTTTCATCAAATAAAATGTGTACAAAATACAACTGTGTTACAGAATGACTCATTCACGTAACATGTCCCAGCAAAACCTTTTCAAATTACAAAAAAACTTGTGCCATTCTGAAGAAACAAAATCAGAGCAATAAAAATGTCATTAAAAATCTTAATAAACAGGTTTTTTTTTTTTCAGACAATGTGAGAGATCAAATAAAGTAGAAAATGCCACAAAGCAGGAATAAATTTTCATAAGGTCTTGCATAGTCAGTATACAAGAAAAGGTGATGGAAATTGAGATAAGAACTAAATACTGGTGTAAAAAAGGAGTGAGGAATGTTTTTAGGAAGCCAGTGTAATACCATGCTCAAATTGAGAAAAACTAACAATAAAATTACAACTTTCTAAGTATTTGTCAAGGATGAGGAATGTTAGTCAAGATAAATCTTTTAATAATGGGAGAGGGCCAGCCTTTCTTATTGGAATCAAGTTCAACTTGACTTGAACAACACAGCCCCCTAACTCCAGAGCTAGGGCTGTCAGAAAATGAGAAAGAGAAGACCGGAGAGAAAAATAATTCAAGTAAAGTTTTGAAGAGAGACAGAGGAAAAATTAGAGAAAACAAAATTAAAAACTTTGCAGGATAAACAAAATCAAATCAAAAAGTCATAAAAAGAAAATTACATAAAAACTTTGGCATTTTTGTACATTAAAATTAGCAGTAACCACTGCGGATAAACAAGAGTCAATGCAACAAGCACAAAGTGAGAGGTGCAAAATGACTAGAATGTTTCATCACACCATATTGGTGAATATAACTCAAGCCAGGCAAGAATAATAAACTATAAACATGAACACTGTATGTTAAAGCTCTCGCCATAAATATTTGAAGAAATAATTTATGATAAATATGTATTTTTTTAAATGGAACTTTACATGCACAAGAACGTAAGAAAAGCTGAAAGTAGAAAAGTGAGGAGTAAACCTCTGATATTGATATCATTCCTCAACATGCAGTTTCTGAGGTTAAATAGATGTAGAGTGACAAAGTTTGAGAGATTTGTTTGTTGAGGTCATTGGAAAGAAATTTCTTGGACCAAGTCTGCCAAGGCGCAGAAGGCAGACATTGTCTAGGAATCACTTTCAATGAAATGACAGTTATTTCACTCCGATTGCTAAGACTAATACTTACTAATACAGCTTAACTTATGCATGCAGACAGAGGCCTGTAGCTACAATTCTTTGGACAGTATAATTTTCTGTGTAAAGGCTTTGACATGCTATCAGGTTCGAACATCATTATAATCATCATCATCTCACCTTCAAAATTGCTCAAATTGTTATCGATTGTGCTACTTTAAAGACTGTTGTTAATTCAACTTACACATATTACTATAGTTACAATTACCAAAAGCCCAGGGATAAAACTTCTTTTTTCTTGTTTTTAAATTGAGCACATAAGACTGGTATTCTACAAAAACGCATATGCCAAAAGGGATGACTTGACACCTATGGCTCTATGCCACTAACATACAATTACAGTCTGAAGGGGGTTAAACTTTCCTTACTTCAAGTGACAGAACATTGAAGACTTTGTAGTACTTAATTGCTATTCCAATCTAAATAGACTTAATTAACACAGATGTTTCCATCAGCCTCAGGTGATACCAGCCTTTCGTTGTCATCTCCACTTTTGCTATGCAGACGGCGCACCTCAGACAGCGAGCGCATTGGGGCAGGGCTTAGAAGAGAGAAGCCACTGCCTCCACTTCCTGTACGTTCTGCAACAAGGATATTTAAATTAAAAAAAAAACATCAAAATTTGTTGCAGACTTAACAACCAAATGAAGATGAAAAGTTACCCTGAGATGCAGGGCTCCGCAACAACTCCCGAGCCATCTCTTCTAATACTAAAGCACCTCTGGGCTGGCGGGGTGAAGCCATTCTGCTTGGAGATTTTCTTGCACTTCCATGGTCCTATAAAAATGAAATTTTATAAATACACAAATGAAACAGGAAAAGAATTTTAAAATGTAAGAGGTCTTTGAAAATGATAAAATAATTACCTGACTAGACTCATCATCACTGCCCGGAAATCGAAAAGCTTTATAATTTGGTGATCGAGGCCATGATGTTGGAGGGGGAGACCTGATCATATGCTCATGAATTTCAGGCAAAGTAAAAGGATCTGGATCTGAATCTGATGGAAAATCCTGAAAGTAAGGTATTTATTATTAGTAATTAGTAATTAGATTGTAACTTTCAAGAGCTAGGACGTAACATAGTACCTGATTCATGAGGTTTATATCATCCGATTCTGATTCTTCTAAGCTGTCTGCAAGACTTTCACGGCTAGCAAGTACCTGCTGATAGAAGAAGACAACAGAGATTGAAGTAAAGTTTAATGTATGTTCTCTCAACCGAAGTTAGAGGTTGAAATTACCTGAAGAAATGGGTTGTCCTGTCGGGATATTCGAAGAGCTTCCATATCTTGGTCAATGTCTCGAGTGCGTCCAGGAGTAAGTGTAAGGGTAGACAGGGCATGGGCTGATGAATTCGACAACACACCCACGTCAACACCGCTAACTGACAGGGTAGATGGGACTCTGGGCACTGCATGGACAATAGTTATTGGACCTGACTGAGGGCCAGGTCCAAAGCCTGTCGAATAAACAGTAAGAATTAAACATAGCTTGTTAAATAGACTTTTAATATTCTGGTAATTAATCTATAACTGACTCCTCACCTGAACCAAGATAGTTGTTATCCATTTCTCTAAAGAGATGCAGCAGCACAGTTATCACAAAAGAATGCAATTTGCAGAGAGGAGGGGAATGCCATCTTGATTAATCTTGTGTCAAAGCCCATTTGGGAGAGAAATTAGAAAAGCATGAATTGCATCCTGCAGAAAAGAGTTACGAGACATTAGTGGGAACTTTCAAGGTTAGCAACCAAGGTAGGGTAACTAGACTTGGTAGGACAATAAGCACTAGATCAGAATTTTAAACATGGAGATGAAAAGCAGTATATGCGTGCAATTTTCAGATAAGAAGAAAAAAGCCAATACAGCAGTTTTAAATGTCAAACAAAAAAACAAACATGAAAGCCACACAACAAAAGCAGAATAAAATAAAAACTTCTATAGCTTCATGTTCAAACAAAAAGATTGATTGTTTATTCATAAACATGATTGTTTGGGGATTTAAAAAATAGCAACAGTTAAAGAAATGGCTGCAATGCATTCTCAACAAAAAGGTTAGAACATGATGAAAATGGATAGCATTATTTATAGTGAACACCTCCGTCATTCCGATAAATTGCTGATGGAGTTTAAAAGAAAAACATACCTAAATGTGCCACAAAAAATGAGCTAGGCAATAATAACACATTCTAGAATCCGTAAGAAGGAGATTACATTCAGCTCACCTTTCAGATGGCGAAGCTACTAAGCTATTTTCTCTTCATTTATGTCCAATAACCGCTGTTGGAGGAGATTTGTCATCAAATTTTAACGAATTTAGGACATTTTCGACGTCAAAGCACAGCAGAACAGAAAATAGGCATAAAGAACTATATCAGTTGACTCCAGTAGTAGCAGCAGAAAACGAACAAGACACTATCGATGCAAGGATAGTACTGCCAACCCAACAACACAAACTACGAAAAATTTCAAGATAAAGACTCGGAAAGATTTGAATTTGGCCGATCATATTCTACCTAAGCTCTATGAGTCTGAGTTTCCTACTTTTCTCACCGAATCATAGGTCACTTGGACCCAGTAAAACCAAAGTTTATTTTCCCTTTGTTTCATCGCAGCTGCAGATAAACGGAACGGAGGCGAGGACGCAACAGCGCGTCACCCACCACCGTCACACCGTCACAGCACCACAAGCACAAGCACACAGCGACAAGCGTCAGCGTCAGGTCAGCTTCGGCGTCTACAGATTCACGGTAAGTAAACGTTTGTCCTTCGCTTCACTTTTCTTTATCTTACTCGATCAGTTCGTGCACCCATCCGACCGATTTTGTTCGCGAATATCAGAACGCGGGATCAGAATTCCGTGAGAGATAAACCTCGTTGCAAGTGGACGGGCGGGCGGCAGGGCTATCGGCTCCTTTGGGAACGATTTGGTTCAGTTTAGGCCTGGATGGAGGAAACTAGGGGCAGAGGGGTGGGATCCGAAAGCGAGACGAGACGAAATAGTTGGTCTAGTCGCTGCGGTCGCTGATAAGACGGCCCTCGTGTGCTCTTTGTGTCGTTCTGTACCAACATTCTGTTGGTCGGTGTCGCACTGCCGTGTCGCGTCGTTTTGTTTGGCGGCGTTGTGGCTTGGGGCGTCGCGTCGGCGTCACTCCCGTTTGCCGCTGACTGCAGTATGTCTTTGAGAAATGGTTCGGAGGGTTCTGTTCGAAAGCAACTTGATTCTAGCCGCGCGGAATCGGGGCTTAGATATTTGTGAGCGCAACTGACCGCTTCAGTTTGCGTACATTCAACAGGTTTGCTCGTGCATTGTCGCGGGAGAGGGGAAAGGGTAGGGGGTCCTCCAATTAGCCCTGTCCTTAACTTAGATATTCTGTATGTCATGGTTTTTTTCAAGAGTAAAGTAGCTTATTTCCTTCAGTTTATATCACATCGCTCTAAATTTGACCCTGTAGCTTCCCCTCTTTTTGTTGGGGTATGGGGTGGCATCATTATGAGCTATGTCATGGTCTTCAAAAGCCCATCAGTCCGCATTGCTTTTGCGGTGTCTGAATGTAAGGAATAGCAGTTAAAAATAATAAAACTAACTTTCAGCATTCTTTCCCCTCAGGTGCACAATGCCTCCAGTACTGAACACTTATGGTGTTAAGAAGAAAAAACGTGGCCGCTTGCCAAAATTTTTGTTTGAGGAAGATGCAGAAAATGATGATGTGTTCGAATCCCTAAATATCGAAAACATTAAAGAGACCAAAGCATTGCTGGTAGAAAAACGGAGACCGAAATTGAAGAAGAAAGAGACTGTGAAGAAGCCTTTCTATTCCTTGGGGCTCTCTGATGATGCTGATTCGACCTTTGATAGACTTCTCAAGGAAGGACCTACTCAAAGCTTACCTTCTCCACCCAAATTTTCTGACTCTTCCACGTCTTCAAATGATTCTGATGAATTTGAATTTAGGAGGCTGTCACCGAAGAAAACTTTAGGTAATTTGATGCTGCGTGCTGCTTACACTCATGTTCCCGTACTTATTGAATATTATCCTAATTTCGTTTTTGTAGGAAAGAAACAGACTAATAGAAATTTTAAATCAGTTGTGAAGACTAGGAAGGTATCTGAAGGTAAAGTATTCTATTGTATTTTTATGTGCTAGAATTTCTTTAGTATCCACCTTGTTACTTAAGTGTTGAGATTTTCTTTGCTTGATAGGAAGAGGGAGAAAGAAATTAAAGAAATCAGTGGAGGATAGCTTCTTTACCAAAGATGAAGAGGGTGCAGTCAAGCTAAGGAAGGAAGCGAAGGGGGAGGACAGCTTCTTTACAATGCGAAATGTTATTCAGAACGCTGGTCGACAACATAAGAATGTTTGTAAGGAATCGTATGAGACCACCACTCCTATGCTTTCAAAACGAACAAAGAAGCAGCTTGAAGCCTTGTCTCCGATACTTCCTATTAACTTAACAAGCACACCTGTTGGAAATATGATTGGCAAACATTTTGAATCCCCTTTAAGCTGCAGGCTCTCGCCAGGTGATGCTGCATTTATGCTGAATGAGTCTGCATCGGTGAGGAGTGCTGCAAATGTCAGTGTGGACATGTTTGCATCTTGTGAGCTGGAGGAGAATCAGAACCTCATTGCGCCTGATAAAGCTTCGAGTGAGGACCATCCAAGTTCCCCTGAGCAGAGTATGGCAAACATTCTGCCTGTCAGCAACAGCTCTCTTGCCAATCACGTTGAATGTGGCGTCAATCTCTCTGGGAACTGCTCAATGTCTTCAGTAAATGGATGCCAAGACTCTGAATGTAAGAAGCCGACTGATACCCAAATTTGCGTTGCTTCTGATGAGTTTGGGGATGGCGCACATGAATGTGGTATGTCCTGTGAGCAGGCTACAGCAAGTGCTTCAAATATCAGTCGTAGCTTTCAAGATTTTCCTGAAAAGTGTGGTAATCTTTCTGGAAATAGCGCGTTGTCGCCGGGTGAGGACTCCAAATGTAACAGATCAGTGTCCAAACAAATTGATACCCCAAGTTTGATTGTTGTAGATGAAAATGATGGTATCTCACATGTTGATATTACGGGGTATGCTGACAGTGACATGTCTGGTCATGATGCCATTGTTGATGACGTAAAGACATCTTCATTACGAAGAGAAATTTGTTCAGAGGAAGGGGAAGAAATAGTTTCCAGCAACACTTCTGACCCTTCAATTAAAGACTGTGTAGTCATGCTATCTAGGTGTGACTTGACGGGACAGCCTGTCTTGTGTGTTGATACCTCGCCTATGGACTCATCCAACTCCCACAACAGGACTGAAGACTTCAACATTTCCCAAAACATTTCATGTCAGAATGATGTCATTTCTTCCTGTCATCAAGCCTCACCAAATATTATACCTTTGAAGCAATGTGAGGTGCTGCTACATAGATGTGATGCTGAACAGTTTGTTGGGACCCCATTTTCAGTTGAGACTATGGATTCTAGCAGTTGCCCCGTGCTTGTACCTCACAAAACTAATGATGTTTGTAATTATAAGTCAGAGATAGATCCTCGTGTGCCTTTTGATTGCAAGATAACATTGACTCGGTGTGATAATGTAGAAAAAGATAATTCTGAATTTAGCTCTACAGCGATATGTAGTCCATCAGGAAGTTTGATCCCAGAAGCTAATTGCGAGTCATTTGTTGGATTGTCATGTGCTAGACCAGATGAGAGACGCAGTACTACACCAGAGCCAGTTGTCTTGAAACCAGGCAAGCACTGGCGTAGGTCTCTATCTATTTTAACCAAATTCAGAAACAGTTTAGATGAGCCTAGCAGTAGAAAATCCCTTGAAGGTAAAAGTAAAGGAAAACTCTGGGAATCCTCTGTCAACTCCCTCATGCAGTTACAGCCAAATAGAGGTGAGCATTTCTTTTTTTTGTGGTGGATGAGGTTTTGGTGTTTTGCTGTCTTGAATCTGCATGACTTTCAAGTGCGATATGGTTTACAGAAGAAGTCATTCTTGAAGATTTCGAGGGTAGTGTCAGTTCTTGTCACACAAACGAATCACAGCGCAAGGATTTTACCCACTCCGACGAAGATGATTCTGTCATTATCTGTGAAGCATCATCTCGAACTGACAATGTTACAAGTTATGAAGTCTTGAGCAGATGTGGGCAGGAAGAGCCCCTTCCATTCCTTGATTGTTATCCTAGTAGGTCAGTGGGTCGACCTTCGCCACTTCCTTGAACACTGGACGTAGTTAAATATGTACTTCATATTAATAGTTATTATTTTCAGTATGAAAGAACAGTGCCAAAAAATTGGAGAGGGTGTTTACGGGGAAGTATTCCTGTATTCTGGAAACCCTGTATCAGTTATTAAAATAATACCTATTGAAGGTAAAATGGAAGTCAATGGGGAGCCACAGAAAACATTCAAGGAAATATTCTCTGAAGTTTGTATTGCTCAGTAAGTTCAGGACAAAGCTTAGTTTGTATATCATTGTTTTGATTCTTTGCCAGTGGGTATAATGAACATTTTTTTTAATAAAACAGGGAACTGAGTGACCTTAGGAAAGGCACTTGCAATGCTACTTGGACATTTAATGAAGTTCAAGCTATTCGTTGTGTGCAGGGGTCTTACCCAGCTTGGCTTCAAGATTTGTGGCATAGCTATAATGATACCAAAGGTGATTTTAATAAGATTAATTTCAGGTGTCGTCTTTTCTTACTTTCTTTTCTATATTTTGTATGTAATTCCTACCAGGCTCTGAAAATGACTGTCCAGACATGTTCCAAGAAGATCAGCTGTTCATTGTTTTGGAACTCCGCCATGGTGGTAAAGATTTGGAAAGCTTTGTATTTAGCTCTGCTGACCAAGGACTTGCCGCTTTTAAACAGGTGAGATACACTCATTGCCAAATTTTACTTTTCCAGCCACGCTTCTCCGTCGGTTCCTCTCCCTCGGCGAGTGAGTTTCTGGCTCATGTTGCCCACTCATGACTAGACTCTCACTCGTCTAGGGATGTGAGCATAAAGCTTTGAACCATTCATCATGTCACCTTGACCAAGGATCATGGCGTCAACTGTTTCACCAACTCCATACGTGTTTTTAGCTGTTGCTCTTGACGAGTGGTGTCCTAGTGCATGTTGATTTTGAAACCATGACTAGACACACACTCGTCCAGAGAGGCAGTGAGTCTTCAAGTTGCTTCTTTCAGCATTTTTTTCTATCTGTTATTAATGAACACCAATTATATGATTATTAAAAGATGTAATAGCACAGATGATGTGTTGTCCTTTATTGATTATGAATTATCTATGTAGCTCAGTAACAATACTCTGTCCTCAATCCTTGCAAAGCTCAGTACATAACACTTCCGTTTTGTTTTGTTTATTTTTTCTGTCTAGATTGCACTTACAGTAGCTGTTGGGGAGAACGCTTTAAATTTTGAACACCGTGACCTTCATTGGGGCAATGTGCTTTTAGCTAGTACAAAAACTAAGGCAGTCGATTTTGTGCTGAATGGAGAGGCTCGGAGTGTTCTCTCAAAGGGTGTCGAGGTACTTCATTAAGCCAACGCTCTTTGTGGTTACTTCTTCACATTTCATTTTGAATTTTATTTTCTCTAACCTGTTGTAAATCTGCAGGTTTCAATAATAGATTTTACACTCAGTAGAATCAACAATCCTGACACAAGAAGTGCTGTGTACTACGATCTCTCTCAGGATGAAACCCTGTTCACTGCTCAAGGAGATTATCAGTTTGATATATATAGGATGATGAAAGATTATTGTGGGTAAGTTAATGCTTGGAAACAATTCATAATCATACTTTGATTGCGGAACTCCCTAATGTAATCCCTAATTCCAGGAACAAATGGGATGGTTTCACTCCCAAGACCAACATAGCATGGCTTCATTACCTTCTTGATAAATTCTGTACGATGGTTCGCTATAAGAATAGGACAAGCAAAGTTCATACCAGTGCCTTAGATACACTTAATGAAATGAAAGATACTGTTTTAATGTTCAGTGATGTGGTCTCATTTGTAAATTGTCCCCTTTTTTGTAATAAGTAACGTTCTCTCTTGCGCTGCTCAATCATGTGAATAAACTACCAGTGAATTTTGTTCAGTTGATGTCTGTTTTCACCCACCATTTTCTGAAAAATACTCAAATTAGGTGAACGGACATTTAATTAATCGTTCATTTTTAAAATTAGCTCAAGTAATGGGTGGAAGACTCCCCTGTTAGAAGTACAGAGACAGACCGTAGCGTCCTATGAGTGGCCTACCCTCTGTGCGCCTCGGCTGAGGAAGCTGCCACACGCGAAGGGAAGTGAGCTCCAGTTCGACTTCTCTTAGAGAAGGTACTTCTTCAAACCTTGCAGTATGTCCCCAGGGGCGCCGACGCGTTCGTCTTTCAGGGGAGAGCAACAAGCGGCGTGGCGCGCCTAGATTTAGACGTGATTATGTTGCAGCATTCGCTAACGTGAATGTACATGACAAAAGTGATAAAGACTCAGGCCCTACCAGCTCAGGGCGAGGCCTTATGCGTCGAGCCAGTAAGGAGAAGAGTTTTGCGCCCTGGACGCCTCTGAACGATGGCGCCGGGAAAGTAGGCCACTCATTCGACACGACACAGCGCGGTGAAGAGAAATTTTTGGGCGTCCTGGCTGAAAGAAAAGCCAACTCACGTTTTTCCTCCTGTAAAGAGGCAAAAGAGCTCCCCCTCATCCGACGTGTCGAATGGGTGGCCTACCTTCACGGCGTCATTGTTCAGGGCGCAGAATACTTCTCCTTACAGGCTTACAGGCACGACTCTTAAAGCCTCGCCTTGAGCTAGTTTTCCCGTGACGGTTTTCTGGTGTGGTGAAGAGGCTGCGCACGATTGGTTGCCTACCTTTCCGGCGCACGCTCCAATGATTCCAGTTTTTTTGCAAATGGTCCAGAGACTCTGCTATGGATTTCCGTGCGCAGTCCCGGGTGCCTGGAGACGTGGTCTCCCATTCTGAGACTCTTCAAACTCACTGCACTGCATGACAATAGGGTTCAAATTAAATAGAAAGGCTCCGGAGGTTTGTCACCATAAAAAATTTATTGAAACATTCAGGTAGATGAGATGAAAACAACCGATGCAACACCAGGCAAACCACTTATTGACCAAAGTAGGAACGCAAACAAAAACAGAAATAATCAAACAGTATTTTGTTTCAGAGTAAAAAAGTGGAGGAATTTCAGAAATTCTCACGTTCTTGGTCCGTGTACATTAATGTCAATGGGTCTGACAGATTCCTCCAGCGGGTGTCAAATAGCAATCCTCAAACAATGCAAAGAAAAACAAGGCAGTAAAATCTCGGTCCAAGTTTCACTACTTTTAATAGAACTGAATGGAGCGCATAATGGGCCAGTGGCGCGAGGCAATCAAGAAGGCAAGGCAAGACAAGAACTCCTTTCCACAGGTTTTTCGACCCGCGGCCACATTCATCCTGCTTGGGTGTCTCCCATTCCCCCCCCCCCCCACCATGGCAACCACGCAATGAAGATGGCAAAACCAAAGGCGCGAAAACGCCGCGACGTGACACGTCAAACAGTAGGGAAACTTCGCACGAAGCGTTTCCGCACGTCACAATCATCGTTTCTGACGACCTTGATTTTGACATTCTCCAGGAGAGCGGAGGGAAAGCGCGCCCTGGAATACGCGCACTGCGGTAACGCCCCACTCCTCCCTATGTACAGATCTACTTCCGGAAACAGTGTGCGGCTGCGACAGGGAACGCGCGGAAACCAGGAACAGTCCACACCGCCTCTCGGCCGTGCTTCCGGGGCCCCCTGTGCAGGCAGACTGCACACCGTCCACTGCGTCGGCCTCAGCGTTAGCCTCAGCGTCAGCCCGGACGCGCCAACACGTCGGCAACCACTACTACACCTAATCATCACTGGCGGCTAAATGAGGGGAGTCCGTCAAAGCGTTCCCTCGCGAATAACGGGTAAAACAAAAACAAAACAACACTTACAACGAGTATTTACACTTGTTTGTACACGAGATACAGACCGTCGACCGTGCCCCGAGAGGGGCCTTCCTGTCGCGTCCAGCTAGTTTGGTGAGTATTTTTTCACTCATCAAGCACGGCGCCGTAGCGCCGAATGCTTGAAGATTCAACGAAGAAAATAGAAGAAGAAATAAATCGAAAGAAAGAATTTGGCTTTGGGGTCACTCGGGGAGGTAGTGAGCGACCGCCAGTTCACTCACACATACACACATGCGCGCGTACACATCAAAGGATATTGCTAGAGTTTTTCTGGCCTTGGGATCATGGTCATCATAGGTCAAAATATCGCACTCCATCATCGAAGTGTGCGATGCCGCTCCGATTGATTCCCTTAAAGGTCTTGATGGAGAGCGACATTTTGACCAACGACGACCACTAGCCCAAGAGCGAGAAGAACCGAAGCAAATCCTTTGACTACACATGCAGCGCGCACACGCACACACACACGCACACTGAACTATTCTAGCCTACTATGTACATTATACAACTTGCCATGGTGCCACCAGCGCCTTCGCTTGTCCTGAGTAGTGCGGCCCCGAGAAGATAGGCAACCCACACGCCAGGGGCCTTACACTTAGGTGCGTAGGGCCTTAGAGAATGATGAAAACAAGGACAAACATAAATAGTAGTTATCTAAAGCTAACTTACTATGTATCGTCCACTCAACGTCCCTTGCCCCTTACCGTTAGTTAGATTTACAGCTACGAAAACGAGTTTTAGTGTTTTACCTGAGACCAAAGGGGACTGACCCAGAGGGCGCGTGTCTACCCTTGAAAAATAGGGAAATAAATCAAGAAGGAAAATTAAGATGTCATGCGACCTTAGTCTAGGCTTATGCTAATGAGATAGAGTGTTCCCGTTAAACCCCCTCCCAAACCCCTCCCACTTCCCCTGTAAAAGCACCATCAGATCCACCCGCACCCCCAAATTCTTCTCCCTTCGTTAACTTTATATAAACTGTACAGTATTGTTAGCTCAATGGAAGACTTAAAACAAAGAGGTAAAACTACTGTATGGATACTGTATGGTACAACTTACATAATAATGGTACCGACTTATGCCCACATTTGCCCATTTTCATAGGCAGAGAAAATTGGAAAATTAGGAAGAACAAACTTAGGCTTAGAATTACGTTAACTTATGGTCCTTCTCAACACTAGATTCCCATCCCCACCCCCGTTTAATCTAATTCTAAGGAAGCCCTGGACAGGCTGGCCAACACACGGAATTGTTCCTACCCCCAGAAAGTGGCCTTTCAACTTGCGATGGTAAAGGGGGAAGTCCCCACACACACGACACGCACTCACACATTCACACACTACTAACATCCGTGCCATCGCCGACTTGGGGGCTCTGGCAGGCGGACTCTACTAAGAAATTGGTGTCTCGATGCCGATGCCGCAATGCGGAACTCCTAAATTATAGAATTATCCTAGAGAGACTTGATTGAGCTTAGAATTGCGTCACATGGGCGCCAACTCAAACCCAAATCAAAGGCCTTGCTCGTAAAGTTCGTCATTAATTACTAAAGCTCTACTTACAAAAATAACTGCACTCACTCACTCACTCTCCCGCGACCCATTCAACTCGCACGCTACGCACTGTCACTCGCACTCACACTCGCCCACTCGATCTCAGACGCTCTCCACTCTCACACCCCTCGCGCAAAACTCGCGCACTCCCAAACGCACTCCCACTTACTCCCACCCTTTCCCACTCACTCACTCCTTTTCACTCCTATTCACTCTCACCCACTCCCACCCTTTCCCTTTCACTCCCACTCACTCACACTCTGACTAGGCGCCGCCCCACCGCACCGCAGCAGGGCCGCCGGTGCGGCAGGCGTCGCCGCTACTGATGTCCACTTCATTGGGTAGATGAGAGACATGACCCGACAGACAGTCACATTAGAAATATATGTACATCCTAACTAGGAAAAGTCACTTGGAGACATTTGGGCCGCGAAGTCGTCGGGATCGACGTCCTTCAAAATGGAGGAAATCAGGAGAGAACAGACAAAAACTGAAATGACCTCTGCTTTCGCCTACCGCCTACTTTATAAACACCCTCAGACCGTCAAAAGAATTACTCTCACTCTCTCGCACACAGTCACTCCTAGTCTAAAATTGAGAAAGCATGGTCCTTCCCCGCGCGCTGCGTCAGCAATCTGCACGGAGACAAAGCAGTAGACCACGAATGGGACTCGTAATTAATACGATGGATCACGACTGGCGTGGAACCGCGCGGAACCGCGGTGGTGAGAACGCGAACTAAAGGTCAAACACGGTGAAACGAAACTGGAACTACGTATTTACAAGTCTACAGAAAAGTGGCTTGCTGCGCACCAACGTCACTGCATGGTCGGAGAATCTCATGTTTATCCAGAAACAGGAATTGTAGATTTTGAATGTGTTTTTAGGTTTAGGAAGAACAAAATTCCATGACGCCAGAAATTTACTGGTTGATTTAGACACTTCTAGCAGAACCTGAAGCTAATATCGAGAAGAGAACCGTGGCGACCCTTGCAGTGGAGACACGCAGCAACCAAGACCTCATACCCGCTCGGACACTATCAACAACTCCCAAGGACCCTCCACGGGGCCTTGCCACGAAACTCAACGCACAGAGGCAACTTACATTTAGAGGCGGGTACACACGTATTGTCATGTCAACGCAACCGCGGAGGTAGAGGAGTTGAGGAACACATGTCTACAATATTTACAGCTTAGAATTAAATTTAGTGAACAGTCTAGTCTATGTACGATGGGTTGGAGCGTATGGTTCGGCCCGTCGAGCAGGCACTCACCTCAAAATGGGGAAAGAAACTCGAAAACGGAACGAAACCTCTACACTAGTATTAAAGTAACTTACGGTTAGCGTGAGAGAGAAATCTTTGCTTCTGCTCTCGCGGTCCTTCTAGTTTCAGCGGCACTGTGTCCATTTTTCAAAGAGAACGAGAAACGAAAGACCAAAAAGGAAACGAAAATCCGTCACTTCTATCGCATCTTCATGCACTACAACTTAACCTACACTTAAGACTATTTCAGCGGTTGGCCCTACACTACAAATCCGTTCACCTCACCCCCACGCCTCCCCGTACTCTACTTAAGCTAATATGGCACTGATACACGATGTGGTATAGTGAGTTTGGGTCGAAGAGGATCCGTCCCGAAACGACCACAATTAAGACTCCTTCGACTCCATTCGCAATGGCCCCTACACACCAGACACATTTACAAAAACACGCGCACACATACTCACACATTCCCCTCTCCCTCTGCTCACTCCCCACCCCCCACACGCTCTCTCTCTCTCTCTCTCTCTCTCTCTCTCTCTCTCTCTCTCTCTCTCTCTCTCTCTCTCTCATACACACACACAAACGCGCAAAGGCACGTGTATGATAATCCTAACTATATCAACCGACTGCCTGACGACGATAGGGTCCGTCGACGACGAGACTCCCTGAGAGAACGAGAACGAAAAGGCGGCCGGCGGACCTGGAGTCGACGCCGGCCAAATCAAGAAAAACCTTACATTCCTATTTATTTACAGATGATTACTTCATATTTGAGTGGCTTTGCTGCGTCGTGGACCACCTCGCCACGCACCAGCGGCGCGTGGCCGAGGACTAGTCTAAGGGTTGGCGGCTAGGCCGTCCAAATTGAACCTAACTATGTACACTAATTGTGTGACATTCGTACATAACAGCGTACCTACAATGGGATTCCCTATGAAGATACGTTGTTCTGTCAGATGATCACTCAATGTCGGCACTTTCTTTGGGGTCCACGCGCACTTTGGCGTCAGCCGAGAAGGCGTCCACCTCAGTGCGAAAATAAAAGAAAACGAACCTTATAGTACCTTACCTAGATAAATACAGTTTAGATGAGTATGTGCACCGCGCAAGGTGGTGAGACACCGTTGCAGAGAACGACCAACACAACGATAAAGGGAAACCAAAAAGAACCTTACTCGAGCTTACAGAGCCCTTGCTAATGCTAAGTAACGCACATGTACTGTGAGGCACTGCGCAGACAATGCACTCTCAGATAATGCACATGGTACGTTCCGGTCACGATTCGCAGACGAATGCGTCGGGCACGGGAGCAGGCGTGGCATGGCGCAGGGCTGCGGGCTGCTTTCGCGAAGCTTCACAACCAGCAGCCCTGGCGCCGCGCCGGCTAGGCTTGCCACACTCCGGCCGCGCACCGATAGAACGCTCAACTAAAAGTACGGCAAATAAAAGTGTCCTTACTGCTAGCTAATTGGCTTGCACCAATACGACTACGCGATTACACGATTTCAACTTTCCAGGGTGTTTCCACAAGGGTTCGTCTGGGACGAAACCCGATAACGCGAAACAAAAAGAAAACTTCAACGAAACACACTTACTTACACTACCGAGGGGGCGGTGCCGCAGTGCGCGTTCGGCGCTAAACTCACCAAACGGAAATGAGCTTTTTTCGTGCGAATTCCCTCATCGATTCAGAAAAACAAACTTTTGGGGAAACGCGCACGAAGTAAGTCCATTAGCATCTGGCGCGAACGCACTCGCGCAGTCCGCGTGGTTGCCATGCATGGTGTATCCCACTCTCCACTCCCGCCCAGCACTCGCAGCACTCCCAGCCAGCTTAGAAACCCCTTCTTGCCTCCTACTCGGCCTTGCCTCGTCTTGCTTGTTTTGCCGCGCTTTGCCTCACGCACACGCGCCAGAGAAAAGAAAGAAAAAAACCAAATCGATTTTGAGGCGCTTCCTCGCATGCTCCATGACATCATTTCCCCCGGTCCGTTTCTACCTGAATGAAGAAGAATGAGTCTCGATAGAAGAGTCACGACTGCAAGTACGAAAAATCAGGGCTTTGCGCCGCTTTGCGTTCCCCCGGCAGCAAAACACAAAGCCCCCCTACCCTTTGCTTATGATACAGTGCCGCAGGGGGCTAACTTCGCCGCCGCGGACGCCACAAATGCCTTGATTTCTATTCTGTGAAGATGAAATGTATGAAACTACAAGGGGAAAGAAAAAAGGCCTGAACTCCGAATTTCACTTCCGGTCAGAAAAAGAAAACAGAATGAGGGCGACAGCGAGGCGAGTGCTGGGGGCTGGCCCTGCCCGGCCGCCCCCGCCGCCCCCGCGCCGTCTGGCTGCGACTCGCTGCCGCCGAGTCTACTCTACGGCCCGCGAGGCCCACTTCCGGCCCACTTCCTGCTCATTTCCGGCTCAATCGGAACCACTTCCGGCGCACTCCCTTGCACTTCCGGCTCAATCCGAACCACTTCCGGCTCACTTCCTGTCAACTTCCGGTTCCTTTTGACTCACTTCCGGCCAGCAGGACGAGGCGCAGGCGCCCCCCGCCCTCCCCCGGGGCACGCCACAGGCATCCCCTGATTCCTTGGTTTCGTTTACGTTCCCCAGGGCGAGGGCAAGGCGCGGGGCTTCGCGAGCAAAGTTTGCATGAATTAGGCTACTGTTTTCAATACGTACAGACTAAAGGATACACGAAATCAGTGGGTGGACAGGGACAGGGTCCGTGCAATCATGGTGCGATGAGCTCTTATCTGCCGACTATTCTAGCAGAGCCTAACTGAAGAACAAGAAGAGGACGATGAACAATAAAAAGCACTGGAACCAGTAATAGAAATCGCCTTTTTTTCGAGACTTTGGCAGAAATAAATAATTAAATTCAGCTTTCTTAAATTTTTAGATTGAAAATTAAAACAAATTTTCAATAAATTTCCAATGTTTAGAGTCTGTGTCTGGTTTTTGTTATCCCTCTCATTCTTCGGTCTGGTTTCTGCTAAAATAGTGTCCAATCGATCGGATGACTACCAAATCACATTTCCTTCTGCACCATTAGAACACACCGCGTCACCCGTCCCAACACTCTAAAATCCTTTACAAGGAAAGTCTTGGCCATGCATTATTGTTTTGTACTTGGCGCTCGTTTTAGGTTACTTTGTAGCAGTCTCTTGTTGTCCAAACGCAACGCGTGTTAGCTTTGGCCTCTTATTGATCTTTTCTTTCAGTCTCTGGATGGCGCGCGCCAGCGCTGGGTGGCCGTCTGGCGTCAGGCCGTCGGCTCTTGGCTCGTGGCTGTCCAGTGATGGGCCTGATGGTTCAATCTGTGCGTGGAAACAAAATCCCCGTTAAAATCACAGCGACAGTTGGAAACGCAGCGGCATGCGAGCTGCCTTTCAAACGTAACCATGTTTTTAATGGTGCAGGCCCGCCACTGCCGCCACTCCGCAGTCCCCGGCCGGGGCAGGGGGAGGGGGAGGAAGCGAGCCGGCACCCATCCGGGGGTCCGTCCACAACGTCCACAGCCCATTGTGCGCACTCGCTTTCATGTGACGCAACTCCCAAATTTATGAGATTCCAAAACGATGCGACAGTACAATCCCAACCATTTTGCACAAGACCCGCGTCGAGGATCGACTGGGGAGGACTCGTGGACGGATTACCGGACGAAAGTGGAAAATCTCGTTACAACCAAGAGCCTGCAACCCGTCCGAACAACCACAGTGGCACGCAGTCACGCACACAAAGAAGTGACCCGCGTCTCATTTTGAAAATCACCGATAAATTTGGGAGAAGCTGCAAGGACGAAAGCGACGCCCACACTGTCCAGTCACTGAGCCAATGAGGAACTCGCTGTTTCGTGTCACTTGTTATAACGAGATTTTACTGCACAATCAACAAAAAATTTAGTATAATGTAACGGCTTATCACTAGACACTCATACAGAAATCACAAACAGATTTTGATATATTTCCAGAGTTTTGCTGAGCAATGAAAAAGAAGGCAGTCTTAAGGGATTCGCAATTTCACGATGAGATGACCTGCGATGTTCTGATGGAAGCGATGTGGATCCTGGCTCACGATACACTGACATAAAGCTAGACGTCTAAATGGGGAAACGGGGACAGGAATGGGGAATGTCTCGGGAAAAATTAATGATCGCAAGTAACGGAAAGTTTTGGTTCGATATAGGAAAATACATGCTCACACTCACAAAATAGGGAAATGCAAATATATAGATTATCTACGGTTCTAATGTGTTACGTCTAGGGTTATTATCCGTTACAAAGGCTGTGTGTTTGAAGGGGTTCCAATTCCACATCTTCACAACGAGGTAATGAGGTAAGTCTAGGTGTGTCGGGCCGAGCGCGGCTGCCCGGGCTGCCCTGCTCGACCGTCACAATGATTGTCTCAGTCTGACAGGGTGTGACAGTGTGGTCCTCAAAATGTACCAGAGTACCAGCACAGACGTCTCGGGAATCGTAAACCCTACCGAAAAGGTGCGGTTACAGACATCTATGCATCTACACGGTTCTTTAAAATGATCAAAATAATGAAATCGATGGAAGCTGGCGCTTCTTCCAACGCCCGCGCCCGCGCTGCTTATTGGCCACGCGAGTTACTTTTTGGCAGAGGCGAACGAACATTCCGATTGTTACTTAAAAATGCGATTTGGAAAAGGAAAGTGTTAAACGTTGCAACGAGTACTCGAACGGGGAATGTGCTGGAAAAAGGGGTGGGTGGGTGGGTGGGGTGGTGGGTTCTACAGCTAAGTTACGGTTACACTGTGCGACGCGGCCCGCCCCAGGCAGGACCAGGATCCAACTTAGACCAACACGACCGACAGGAAAAGACCCCCAACCCCCCGCAGTCCACGCCGTCCACGCAGTCCACGCCAGCTCGTTGTCCCACAAAAGCCTCCTCTGTCTTCTGTGGAACAACAAGCGGCCTGCAGGCCTACAGGTACGACTCTGAAAACTCCAAGTCGGACGTGGAGGCGCGCGAGGAACGGGTGTGCACCGAGAGCCCGCCCCCGAAGGCCGAGTCCGAGGTGCCGGCGTCCGTGATCAGGTCGGCCACGATGAGGCTGTCCTTGTAGCCCGCACCTGTGTGCAGCAGTCCCTCCGTCGTGCCGCCCCCGCCGCCGCCACCACCGCCGCCCCGCCCCGCCTCACGCTCCTGCAGCCTCTGCTTGAGCGCGCGGATCTTGTCCTCCTTCTGCAAACAGAGATACGATCCAGTCAGGTGGAGCGCCTGGGGAGTTCGCTGCGCCGTCGAGCGCGCGTGCGTTGCGGGCAGGCCTACCCTCCCGTCGTCGGGCGCCGAGGCGCTGGGTAGGCCGTGCCGTCGAGCGCGCGTGCGTTGCGGGCAGGCCTACCCTCCCGTCGTCGGGCGCCGAGGCGCTGGGTAGGCCGTGCCGTCGAGCGCGCGTGCGTTGCGGGCAGGCCTACCCTCCCGTCGTCGGGCGCCGAGGCGCTGGGTAGGCCGTGCCGTCGAGCGCGCGTGCGTTGCGGGCAGGCCTACCCTCCCGTCGTCGGGCGCCGAGGCGCTGGGTAGGCCGTGCCGTCGAGCGCGCGTGCGTTGCGGGCAGGCCTACCCTCCCGTCGTCGGGCGCCGAGGCGCTGGGTAGGCCGTGCCGTCGAGCGCGCGTGCGTTGCGGGCAGGCCTACCCTCCCGTCGTCGGGCGCCGAGGCGCTGGGTAGGCCGTGCCGTCGAGCGCGCGTGCGTTGCGGGCAGGCCTACCCTCCCGTCGTCGGGCGCCGAGGCGCTGGGTAGGCCGTGCCGTCGAGCGCGCGTGCGTTGCGGGCAGGCCTACCCTCCCGTCGTCGGGCGCCGAGGCGCTGGGTAGGCCGTGCCGTCGAGCGCGCGTGCGTTGCGGGCAGGCCTACCCTCCCGTCGTCGGGCGCCAAGGCGCGCCGCGCCTTCCCCGAACAACAACTCACCTCAGCGATCAGTCTCTGCAGTTCCGAGTTCTCCTGCACGATCTTGCGGTACTTCTCCTCGTCCTCCTTGGACCCAATGTCCGGGTTGTACTTGGACTCGGCGTGGTCGCTGGGGTGGCGGATGACCTCGATGACCTGGAAGCAGGCGGTGCGTCAGCGAGGCCCCACTGCAGTGCACTGCACGGGCCGGGGCCGTGCCCAAAGGCCGTGCCCCGTCACTCACCTTGGGCACGAAGATGAGCGCCATGGACAGGAAGCAGCAGAAGATGACGGCGAGCGCGACGAAGGCGAACACGGCGTCCTGCTGCGACGCGATGACCAGCGTGACGGGGGCCGTGATGAGGCACAGCACCACCACGTTGTAGATGGACATGCCCACGTAGCGCGAGTCGTTGATCTGCTTGACCTTGATGGAGCGCGTCTCGTAGGCGAGGAAGAGGCCGAACACGAGCACGACGCCCTTGTAGCCGTAGATGACGCCCAGCCACACCGTGTGCTTCTCACTCTCGCAGTGCTCCAGCTGCGGCCGGATCTTGACGTCGTCGTCGGTGTTGTTGGGCTCCTCCAGCGGGAACTCCTCGATGCTGCGCTGCAGCGGGTCGTATAGCTGCCACGTCATGAGCAGCACCAGGTCGATGAGCAGCAGCCCCGTCACCATGGTGTACAGCTTCCAGGGCTCCACCTTCTTGGTGTCGGGCTTGTTGTGCGTGGTGAGTCGGTGCACGCGCCACACCTTGCTGAACATGGCACCGTACGCCAGCGTGAAGCCGATGGACAGCAGCCAGACGCGCGCCTGGCACACGAGCGGGTACACACCCGGGGACACGAACTGGCCGTCTAGCCCCAGCAGGAACACGCTCCACAAGCACGTGATGACCCCCACCAGCATGATGGTGTTGCACACCGGGTGGGACGACTGAATCACCCTAAGTTCGGAAAACGACGACGGGTCAGCACGTTAACACACACAAAAGGCAAACGTCGGAGACTAAAAGTGTGGTTGCGAACCTTCGGTGGCGGTACCAGATGTTGAAGATGATGAGGCCGATGGCGGCGACGATGCCCAGACTCGAGATGCTCCACATTGCAACATGGCCCCGGCCCCAGGGAACCCGTTGGAAAGCACCGGACGGCCCCGGACACGTGCGGTCACGACGGGGCACCTTGCCGCCTGCGACAGAAGGAACAAGGCCCCAAAGCACTGTGACCCAAGCATATTTTGAACGGAAGGGGTACGACTGAATAAAATTTAAACGGAGGGTACACGAGAAAAACGGAAACTTTCCGGAGACTTGTGCTTTGGGAACCCGGGGGGTAAATGTTCGGAGATGAAGGCCACGGCGACGATCCCCGTAGTTGCCAAGTACGGACGGCCAGGGAAGTTAGACCAGGACTTTGTTCGGTCTTGATTCCGACCTCACAGAGGGTATTTGAACCCGGAGCTGCGCCGTGAGTCGAGCCCCGCCTTACCGATCCAGCGCTCCTTGTTGGCCCAGGTGAGGTTGTCGGCCTGCGTGTCGTAGTAGCCGAGGTTGACGTAGGAGCCGTTGATGACCTGCTCGATCTGCGTGAGGGCGATACGGTCGCCCTGCGAGCTGAAGGCCACCCCGCCCGACACGCCCAGGAAGCGCGTCGAGTTCATGGCGCTGTAGATCTCGTCGGCGATCTCCTTGTTCGTGTACGTGAAGTTCTTGAGGGTCTTGCCGTGCTTGAGCAGCTTGCTCATGGTCTTGTTGAAGGCTGAGAGGGACGGGCATGCCCGCGTTAAGGATGGACGCAAACGTGGAAACCATTTTCGAATCGATTTCGTGACTCACCCAACGCCACCGACCACACGGCGTCGTAGGCCAGAGGTGCCTCCTGGTACCCCTCCGGGTACCGCTTGTTCGCGATGTCGTACTTCTTGCTCAGCACCTCGTTGAGCCTCAGACGGAAGTCCTCGGATGTCTGCAAAAAGAAGCTCGTCAAGAAGGCATGGCCACGGCAGCGCTAGACCGGCTCAACGGAGACGCACTCACCATTTTCGAAATGGTGGTCTCCTCTTTGTTCTGGTTCCACATGAGGGCCTCGGTGGTGAGGTGGCCCTCGGCCGCCATTCGCATCTGCTCCGCGGTGCAGTCGATGGACTCTCTCTCCAGATTTTGCTCGAACCAGTTGTCCTCGTACCAACCTGCGGTGGGGAATGGAATGGAATAGAATCGAGGGCGAGGCACTTGAACCAAGCCGCGGCGCGCGGCGCGCTTGGCGGCGCGAGCGACTCACCGATGAAGAACCAGACGTACTGCTTGCCGTACAGGCCCTGCTTGAAGACCTCGCACAGCACGCGGCGCGCCGCCACCACGTAGAACAGCCCCACGATGATGCGGGCGTCTTGGCGGCGCAGGTTGCGCACCGCGTCCGTCGGCTCGCTGAGGAAGCTCTGGCGCGTCACGATCTCGATGCCCGCCACCTTGCAGCGCGCCTCCAGGTCCTCCACCGTCGAGATGAACACCTCCTCGGCCTGCTGGAGGATGGCGACGCGCGACCAGCCGAACTTCTCCATCAGCTTGATGCGCGTGGGGTTGTGCACCGTGGCCGAGGGGTGCGTCCGAAACAGGGTCGGGAATCGGTTACGGTCCGACAGCGCGGGCGAGCTGGCGCCGTAGCAGAGCACCACCAGGTTCCACATCTTGGCCGCCTCCGCCACCGTGGTGCACACGGTGGAGCAGCCCGCCAGCAGCAGCAGCTTCTGGGGCTGGTTGTACACCAGGTTGTACATGACGGAGGCGCCCAAGCCTGGCTCACACTGGAATGAATCACTCGTTTAAGGCATAATGTCGAAACAGCAGGCTCAGTTCGTTCCATTCCAATCGCTCCGCTCACCTCGCTGTCATTCCAGTGCAGCTTGAGTTTGAAGCCTGGCAGGAGGTCGCGCCGGTTGTTCACATCTTCGAGGGCGAGGTTGGCAGCGGGTTCACAAGCCTGCCAGTAAAGACAGGCCTTAGTACTTCCTTGATCCTAGAACTCCTGCGCCCTCCTCAACAAAATAAGCAAAACGCACAAATGGCTTACCTGACCCCCCTGCCAACCCCCTTCTCCCCGTATGGGGAAGATCCCTCCGATGTGAAGAACGTTGTCGTCGTCATCGTCGTCGGCTGACGCCGCCGCCTGGAGCACATGCTGGCACCCGAGCAGGAGCACCAGCAGCAGCGCCAACGGCAGCGGCGCCAACTGCCAACACATATTTTAAAATGAATGAATGAATTAATAGCATATTTCCATTTCACGGCGCTTCTCCCACGACCACGTGAGGGGCGACTCGGGCCACTGGCCCCGGCGGCCCTGGGGGTGCGCGCGAACCGCGAACCACGCACGAAGGACTTGGGAACGGCGGCCATCTTGTCCATTGCTCCCTCACTCCCTTCCCTCACGGCCTTACCCTTACCTCGCGACGCCCTCGGCGGCCGCGGACTGTTGCTGCACCGCCACTGCCCGCCTCGGACCCGGGCGTGACGCCACCGTCACGGAGAGGCATAAGGCCGTCACACCCCGTCGCCACGAAGGCACGCGAGCGCGCCGTCACGAGCACGCCGCCATGGCGCGTCACAAAGACGTGACCCCTCGTCACGCCACATCCCCGCCACGCTCGTCACGTCACTGCGTGGGCCGCCGCGTCACTGCGAACCCCGAACCCCATCTGCGGGCTCGCCGCGGCTGGGAACAGGAACTGGGCAGCCAAACCCTCGGGGCGGGCAAACCCACTAAAACCCCGGAGCCTGCAGCAAAGCGGACTGAGCTGCCAGTTCCGGTGACAGCCGCCAGGTAGCGCTAGCGCTGGGCCCCGGAGCTGGATGGGAGAGAGCAAGGGTGTGGTCCAGAAGCAGCGCTCAGCTCAGCGCCACCAACCCCTCGCCGCCCCGCGCCACCCCCGACGGGCCGCCAAACGGGGCGGCTCGTCACGGCCTGGCGGGGCTGGCGCACTGCGGGGTCACGCCGCCAGAGGGCAGCAGCGGGAGGCGGGCTGGATATTGATCCCCTCCCTGCGCCACAAACACCTACTGTCGTCGTACGTCCCAAATTACTGGCCATGGTACTCACCCGGTGTCTTTCGAACATCGCCATCACTGGGGCCTCGTCCTCGTCCCGGCAGGGGAGCGCGGGCTCTGGCCTGGCCTCGGCCCCCGGCACGGCGGGCACGGCCCTCGCGCCATCACGTCTTGCTTGGCCTCCAGGCCGCGCCCTCTGCGCCCGACCCGCCACTCGCGCCGCGCGGGGCTCGACTCCAGGACTCACTCCAGCACTCGGCCGGCTTGGCCCCGCCGCCCCCTGCGCCCAGCGCCGCGCCCGCCCGCCCCCTACGCCCAGCGCCCTGCGTGACCCGGCCCGGCCGAGTCCAGGTCGTCTAATTCACCCCCTCCTCCTCCCCCGGTCTAAGCCGCTCATGCTGACACCGCTCAAATTGGAAATCTTAATCACCGCCCGCCCACCCCGGTGCTCCCAACGGCCCTCCCAGAGATCACGAAGCGGAAGACGGCTGGGTTTGGGCTTCCGTATCCACCCACAGTCCGACCCGACGGCCACCGACAGCCTCCGCCTGACTGACAAAACTTGGCGAAAGGCCACTGCAGGACTGCGGTCATCTCGTGACAAACCCTCTGAGACCATGAAGGAACAATGAATGCTCCGTGCCTCGGCAACTCCTTCCGTCGTCTTTAAGTCCGTCCAATATGGAACCGGGGCATCTCTCCACTCGCGTTCTGGGACATTCCCTAAAAACCCGTCGGTTACGCCCACGTCTCCGTCCCAGCCAAACGTCCCGGCGCCCACACTACAGCCTCCGACGGCCAGGCCATTTTGGCAACAGGTACAAAGTCCCGGTGCATTTCTGAAGCGGGCCGCCATGACGCGCCATGACTCAGGTCAGGACCGCAGTCCGGTCCGTCGCGGCCAGTCAATTTAACTTCTCCTCGACGCCGACCCGGCCGTCGCCGAGGAGCGGCAGACGCCGGCCGGGGTGCCGCGGGCGCCAAGCTTCAGTTTGAAGCCACTTCTGGGCCCGCAAGGCGCGAGACACCAGAGAAATCGCAAACTTACCTGGCACATAACCAGCGCCTCCTGTCAGGGGGAGCTCGGCGCCGTCTTCTCCGCCATCGATTTTCCAGGCATCAGGCTGGTGCACTTTGAGAGCGGGCGAGGGGAAGGGGGGGATGCAAGCTCCCCTCCGCCAGGACCATGGTGTGGGGGATGCGCCTTTGGATGGAGGACCGGGAGGCAGCGGCGCAGCGCGCAGCGGCCGTGCAAGACTGGCAGTTCATCGGGCCATTTCGATTTTGGAACGCGCTCCGGGCTGGCGGGGAACGGCCCATAGTGATTACGAAGCGGAAGTCGGGTGGCCTCTCGCATCACAATCACAATCCGAGTGCCCAAAAGTCAAAACCTTGGCGAAATGCGTCGCACTAACAGGCTACAGGCTCAAATGCACTTCCCTGAATTTTTCATGTTCTGAATGCGGCTGATGTGTTCAACTTTTACTCGTGCTGTGCCCGCGACTCTACCTCCTCCAGATCGTTTTCTTTCTTTTGTTTGGAATCAGTAAGTTTTTCTTTGTCTGTGATGAGAGTAGGGCCAGGTTGAGAAGAAACGCAATAGACAGCAATGTAGACAAAGTCAATTAACTTTATTATGATGCCACTAATCCATTACAAAATTTGCCTGGCATCTTAGGAGCAGAGATCTACAAAGAAATGAGATTGCATTTCCCTCAAATCATTAACATAATGACATTTGCTATGGTTTTCACCTAACAGGACACAATTTAAGGTGAGATCCATGTGCAATGTAATCTTAGTAAAATTGAATATACTACCACAATAGACTCATCCAAAATAGGTGGAAAAAAATGATCAAAGGTCAGAACGAACTCTGTTCTGAAAACAGAAGGGGCTAATCAGAGAATGTTCATCATTACAATTTTAAAACAATTAATAAAAATAAGTAGACTTAACAAACAAGCATACCAAAGACAATCAAGTTCCAGTAAAATGAACAGTAGCTAAAAGTATTACTTCATTCCCTTGAAAGCAGTACATTTAAACCAACATTTTTATACTCCTAAAGTAGAACCAAAATGAAAAAAAAAATTCATTTCATAATCTACAGTTACAGAATACTGGAAATGACAAAATTTAGTGAGACCAGGTATATTATCATAATATAATGCAGATCCAGATGCTTCACTAACATTGATAATCATAAAGGCAAGCAAAGCATGAGACAAGAATGAATATGCATTGGATGAAACTTCTTTGGAAATGCATTCTGAGGTCATGATTTCATTAGCCTTGTCCACCAATAAAAAGAAGTTAATAAATGGAAAGGTTTTACACCCAACCACCACCATTACTCCTGCCCAGACAAATATTGCTATTTACAATAAAATACTGTTGCACGATCATATAATACAGAATAAAAGACAATAAATATGTACAAAATAATCTACATTGAAGACATATCCAACAATGATCAAGTCACTAAGACTTCAGCTGCACATATTCTGGCATCAGTCGACACAGCACCATGTACAGAGTTCATAAACACTTATACAAAAATCATCAATAACATCCAAGCATAACTTAAGATTTGCTTTGTTTTCAGCATTACTCAATTCTTTCAGCATCACGCCACTGAAAGAGACCACAAAGAAAAGATTAAAGTCAGTGCATTAAACTTTAAACCAATTTAGACTCGGTCGAGAGGATTTAGAGGACTTACCTCAATCATCTTCCTCCTCTTCATCACTACTGACATATTTCCTAGAACGTTTGCGTCTCCCTTTCTCTACCTTCGGAGGTCGGCCACCACGCTTACTCCTCGGCTTTGATTCTTGTTCAGACTCCTCATCATCTATCAATCATAACAAATTTGTTAACAAACTAAATTGTAAAAGTAAAACAAAACCATAACCACCAACCACATCAGTAGTTTACCTTTATCAGATTCTTGCTCCTGATCTTGCTGCACTTGTTGACGAGCATTAGTGAAGACTGACTGAAGTACAATTGAGTCTTCATGTATGAGAGATTGCTCTTTGTTGTACAACTGAGCGTTTTTACAGAGTTGCATAAAGTCTTTTTCAAGATCGTCCATTTCAAAGTACTTGAGGACAAAACAAGAACAGAAGAAATTAAAATTAGTAAAGGAAATTATTGTTAATATTAAATAATATTTAGAAGAACACAAGAGACACTCACTTTAGATTCACTAATACGGGTCAAAATTCTGTTAATATCCATAGGCTTTTTGATGACTTCATAGTAATCAGGAAGAGCCTTACGGGAAGGAAGCTTCATGAATGGTTCACTAAGAACTCTTCCTTCCTCACTGTAATTAGAGGAAACAGACAACAAATCAGCACCAAGTAAATAATTGACAGTGTATGAACAAATAATTCATAAAAATATACCATACCTATCAGTGTACTTCACAACAATTGTCATGATTTTCTTCATCTGTTTCTTCACTTTTGGGTCAAGTGTGCTTTTCTCAGCAGCACCTCTCCTCTTCTTGATGGACAAGGGCTCGTCTTCATCATCATCATCTTTCTTTCTCTTCTTACGGCCCTTTTTGGAAGCTGGGCGCCTATCTTCTTCCTCTTCTTCCTCCTCATCGTCGAAGTCACCAAGATCATCCATTGCCTACATAAGGAATAAAATAGAAGATAAAACAAGTCCCTCACAAGGTATATTAGCTAACTTAGTACATGGGACAGAAAAAAAAAAAAGAAAAAAGGGGGAAAGCTCACCTTAAACCATTCTCTTTCAGTAAGACTATCAGTGTAATCAACCTCTTTCCTCTGCCTAGTGCCACGACCTAGACACTGCTCTGCTTCCTCTTCCTCATAGGCCAGGCGTTCCAGCTCTTCCTCTCCCTTTAGGAGCCACTCAGGGAGTTCACTTTCATCCACAAGTCGTGACTTGCGGCCCGAACCCTTGGCTGCATCCTCACGACGTCTATCCAAGTCCATCTTCTGGAAGGCTTCAAACTCACTCTCTGAGCGAGCCAACATTTGGTTGACCACTTCATCATCCGGAACCTCATTCTCTTCCTATATTTAAAAGAGCATAACATTTTTTTAAGAAGAGATAAAATTAACACCATTAACAATTGCAAACAGAATTCAATCAATCAATCACTAGAAAAAAATCAGAAACACAAAACCCACCTCATCATCAGCATCATCCTGGTGCAGAATGGTTTGCAGGAACTGCTGTCTTTCAGAACCAGTTGATTTTTGGTCAAACATACCAGCTTGAATAACTTTCTCATCCATATTCAGCTTGTATCGAGCAGCAGCTAAAATTCTCTCCTCTACAGAGTTGACAGTCATGAGTCTCAAAACCCTCACTTCATTCTGCTGACCAATACGATGAGCTCGATCCTGGGCTTGCAAATCTTGATGAGGGTTCCAATCAGAATCGAATATAACAACTGTGTCTGCAGCTTGTAAATTCAAACCAAGACCACCAGCACGAGTACTCAGCAAGAAAAGGAAGTATTCTGATGTAGGGCTGTTAAATTTCTTAAGGAGATCACCACGATCCTCTGCTTTAGTTGTACCATCAAGTCGAAGGTAACTGAAATTTCTCCAGGTAAGGTAATCTTCCATGATTGTCATGAGTTGTGTCATTTGACAGAAAAGAAGCACTCTGTGGTTTGTGGCCTTCAATTTGGGAAGAATACGATCCAGAAGCTCAAATTTGCCTGAAGTTCTATAGAGTTCTGGGCCTGTGACAGCTGTGCCTGTGTGCTCACTGTATTTCTCCTCAATTTGTTGGAACATGAATGGATGATTACATAACTTACGTAACTGCACAATCGTGTTCATTAAAGCCTTAGCACCACCCTTTCCTTGCTTTCCACGTTCAGTACCGTCAGTGAGGAGCACTCCCTTGCTCTGCATGTGTCTGTAGAGCACACGTTGAAGACCAGACATGTCACACTTAATGATGTATTCTACCTTATCAGGCAATTGAGACTCTACTTCCTTCTTGAGACGACGCAATAAGAAAGGTCTCAAAACTTTGTGAAGACGGCGAATAATAAGGATTGTTTCTTCTTCATTCAATTCTACCTTCTCACCAGTTGTTGCAAATGGTGCATTGAACCACTGCTCGAATGTACTGACAGATTTGAAGATTGATGGCAGGAGGAAATTCAACAAAGCCCACAATTCTGGCAATTTGTTTTGCAAAGGGGTTCCTGTCAAAAGCAGGCGATGAGGTGCAATGTAATGAGTATTCAAAACCTGAGTCAGTTTACAGTGGTGGTTCTTCATACGATGGCCTTCATCGATGATCATGTACTTCCAATGAATTTTAGCTAGAGTTGCTTTGTCCTTGATAACATATTCATAGGTTGTCATAAGCACATTAAATTTGCTATTTCTCATCTGAGCTTGTAATGATCGCCGGGCTTGTGGAGAACCCTTATAAGCTAGGCAAATGACAGAGGGAGCCCATTTTTCAAACTCCAAAACCCAATTGGACAAAGTAGAAAGTGGGACAATGATTAAGAAAGGTCCATTTACTTTCTTTTTCTCCATCAGATAAGTAATAAGGGCAATTGTCTGAATGGTCTTACCCAAACCCATCTCATCTGCCAAGATACCATTCAGATTATTATTGAACAAGGACACCAGCCATTCCAGACCCTTGACCTGGTACTCTTTGAGTTTACCATTGATAAGAATATCAGCTTGCTCTGTGACATGCTCATGAATAGTATGGGCAATGCTGTAATATGTGTGCTCTTCTCCTTTCTTTCCATATTCATCATCTTCCACCTTGGTGTTCTTCTGAAGAGCTCCTTTCTCACCTTCTTCACCCTCTTTTTCTTTCTTCTCGCCTCCCTCTGTTTCTTCTTCCTCATCATCAGTGTACTCTTCAACACACTCCCATCCTGGATTCTTTTCTAACCACGCATCTACTTCACTGGCCATTGGGGCATCGTCACCAGAAATCTCTTTACCAGTGGCTACCTCTCTGACGGTTACGCGGTAGTCTTCCTCATCTTCCTCCTCTTCATTGCCTTCTTGCCCCTCTTGACCACCTTCACCTTCCACTGGCTTCTTCTTCCTCCGTCTGCGTTTCTTTTGACTGTCTCGCTGCTTGAGCTTCTGCTCTAATTTATGCTGCTTCACCATTTCAGTCAAATTTCCAATGTACTCATCAGTTTGAGAAAGCAAGAATGCCAAACGCTTGTCTTTCTTTTGATCGATAAGCTTTCTGTAACCTTCTTCATCTTCAGCCATAAGACGGCGCATACGCTCTTTTTCAATTCTTTCTTGCTCCTTCTTTTGTTCCCTTTCGGCATTGGCGTGGTAATTCATAATAGCTTTGTTCAGACGGCCAATACGACCAAGGTTGTTGCGATGGAATTCTTTAAGGTCCTTGCTGTGTTGCAAGACTGTGTCAAGGTATTCCTTATGCCTCTGTCTGCGCTTCCTCTCAGCTTCGATCTTGAGTTGCTTCTCCAATTTTTCAGTAGCACGTGCTTCACGCAATCCTTGGCGTTTCGTTCGCTTGTAAAGTTTGATATTATGAGCTGTTTCAAGAGTTGTCATTGCACGGGTGTGTGCAACAATATCACTTCTCAGCTGACGCTGCAGGTTGAGAACACGCAAAGCTCTCAACTCAATCTGAGCCTGCAGTTTATCCTCTTCAGAAAGATTAGGGGGCAGATTGCTTAGAATTTCAATTCTGGATTGAATATTTTCTGCCACCTTCCTTTCACGCTCATCCAATGTTGCGAGCGGATCTATTCCACTGGGTTTGGGCATGGTCGTAGTGCGGGCATTCTTTCCCATGATGCTGGAAGTGGTGCTCAGCACCTGTTGCTGGATTTGGTGCGCTCCTGGGGGCAGACCGCCTTGATGCATTTGGGGGTGAGGAGGCATGCCTGGACCGATCGGGCCCTGGTGCATGGCTCTGCTCTGCATGCCCATTGGACCCATTGGGCCCATCGGACCCATGGGTCCCATCGGAGACATGCCCGGGTGCATCGGGCCGCCAGGATGCTGCATGGGGCCATGTTGTCCCATTCCAACCATGGCACCAGGATGTCCAGGATGTCCAGGGTGTCCAGGATGCCCTGGATGGCCTGGATGCGGACCCATTGGACCACCTGGAATACCACGAAAACGTTTTAGAAAAATCGTTCTTCAATTACACACTATCAACATTTCTCCTCAAAGACGATACACACCAGGATGAGGTCCCATAGGCCCACCGTGCTGGCCTGGGTGCGGTCCCATAGGACCGCCCGGGTGTTGGCCCATGGCGCCGGGATGTGGCGGGTAGCCCATGGGGCCACCTGGATGCATGGGGCCATGGGGGCCGTGAGGACCGTGAGGGCCTTGTGCAGACGGAGGACCACCTGGCTGTGGACCCTGAGGCATCATCTGACCCTGAAAACAAAAGACCAAGTTACAGACTCTGAAAGTAAAAATTTTTGAAATCAAGAAGCAAATTACAAGCCGGTTGAGTAGAAAAAGTGAGTACTTACATTGGTGTAGGACCTCACCTGGTGAGGAGGGCCTCCAGGTGGTGGAGTAGGACCGGGACGCTGTTGCATCCCTGGCGGTCCCGGAGGACCAGGAGGGCCTGGCGGACCTTGTTGTGGCCCTGAGGGCATTCCATGAGGGCCTGGTGGACCCGCTGGGCCTTGAGAGCCAGGCGTGGGTGGTCCACCGGCCGGTCCGTGAGGTCCAGGCGGTCCTTGCGGAGGACCTTGAGGCCCTGGAGGGCCGGGTGGGCCCGACAAGGGAGGTGTTGCAGCGCCGCCAGGTTGTCCCTGTCCTGCAGGGCCTTGAGATGGAGGGGCAGATCCCGGAGCTGCGGTGGGTGGCCCCGGGGGACCAGTAGGTGGCCCACCATGCGAAGGACCGTGGGGAGCACCATGAGGCGGCCCTCCATGGGGAGGCCCGCCATGAGGAGGAACGCCGTGAGATGGTCCGCCATGGGGAGGTCCGCCATGGGGAGGCCCACCATGGGGAGGTCCACCATGTGGAGGAATGCCATGTGGAGGAGCGCCGTGTGGAGGAGCGCCATGAGGAGGTGCACCATGTGGAGGTACGCCGTGCGGAGGAGCGCCATGAGGAGGACCGTGGGGCGGTCCATGAGGCGAGCCGCCATGAGGAGGACCGTGGGGTGGACCGTGGGGTGGACCATGAGGACCACTGTGTGGGCCACCGTGCGGTCCTCCATGAGGACCTGCGTGAGGTGGGCCGTGAGGTGGTCCGTGCGGCGGTCCGTGTGGCGGGCCGTGGGGTTGACCATGTGGTGGGCCATGAGGTGGGCCATGAGGCCCGCCATGAGGTCCACTGTGAGGACTCCCATGGGGAAGGCCATGCATACCGGTCGGAGGGCCACTTGGGGGCCCCGTTGGTGGGCCCGGGGTGGGCGGCCCGCTTGGAGGGCCTGATGGAGGGCCAGATGGTGGGCCTGAGGGTGGGCCGCTTGGAGGTCCTGGGTGGCCGGGCGGTGGTCCTTGCGGCGGAGGCGTGCCAGCGGGCCCGGGTGTTGGAGGTCCTCCAGGGGGCATTCCTTGGGGTCGCGGAGACGGCGCGCCGTGTGGTGGCATTGCCGGGCCTGGCGTCGGAGGCCCAGACGGAGGTCCAGACGGCGCTCCAGGCGTGCTAGGAGCAGGCGGTGGAACGGCACCAGCTGGTGTCGGCGAACCTGTGAACAGTCGACTGCAGTTAGAAAACGACAAACAATGCAGCACATTGATGCTGAAAAGAAGAAAATAGTGTCAATTGAAACATGATTTCAAAATAAGTCAAAATACACAACACAGACATTGAGTAACGTTCTCGTAAGACTACATATGATATGTTAGATAGGAGAAAGCGAAAGAGTACTTGGCTAACTTATGATGCGAGATGATCGAAGCTCGAAATAACTTGAATGCATTTCAAAAAACATTCTTCCCATCATTCTTTTTAGTGCCAAAGCTCAATAGAGCAATCATCAGTTAAAAATCATCACATCGGTACTTTAGTTGAATTAAATTAAGATTGAGAAGAAACTAGTAGAACAATACTACTCGCATTTCATGCAAACAAGATGTGCTATCATATTTGCATATAAAAGCTTCAAAATTAACATGCATTTTCATAGACACTTATACATAACAAAATAAAGATAAAGTAGTAATTGGATTGTGTTTAAAATATTTGTATCAAATAGAATTGACAGGGGAAATTTAAAATGATATGACTTTTGGTTTGACTTTACAGACAAAGGAATAGACACGTACATGAGTTTTAAAATTTACTGTAAATCAATTTATACTGATGGGGTGAAGGAGCATTGTGGCTTCTTTGGAAAATTGTGTATCATGGAGTGAGGTTGGTTGACAAAGGTTACAGAAGAGGGGGGACTTTGAAATTCCTGCAAATTATGTGCCATTAGAATTACATCAATGAAGATCTAGCCTTCATTCCATTTCAAACATGTCCTGCTAGAGTGAGAAAAAAAATTGATGCTTGGGTTCGTTTCAAGTTGTTCAGGTCCTTGCCTAGACAAAATAGATTAAAGATAAGTATCAAGCTTGGGAGAAGAATGGAAAGGAAAGTCCTTCTGTGGAAACTTAAGTTGAAAATTTTTCCTGAACAATAATCCAAAAATACAGACCAACTCAAAAGATAACCAAAATAAATTCAACAATTAGTAAAAAAAAAAAAAAGCCGAATAAAGTTTTTAAAAAACAGCGTTTGCAGAGAACGCCAAAAACAAAATGAAACAGCAGCTTGCCTCAGCAACCATTTAAAAAAATACAACAAAATAAACAAAAATGACAAGAGTAATAATTGAAAAGGAAATCTCTAAGACAGGACATGCCATAATGTGCCCGCAGCACACTACCTCCTTCCACTGGGGGTCCCACAGGGGATGTTGCTCCATGCTGACCAGGGCCTTGGGCGCCTGGTCCGGCTCCAGCTCCGGCAGAGGGCGGAGTGGGAGGCTGTGGAGGGCCTGGAAGGGCCTGGCCCTGGGCGGCGCTCTGAGCGGGGCCCTGAGCGGGGCCCTGAGCAGGGCCCGGTGGAGACCCTTGGGCAGGGCCAAGGCCGGCAAGGGCAGCGCCAGCAGGGGCTGCGGGGACACCGCCAGCGACGGCGGCAGCGGCTCCCTCTGGAGAGCCCTGAGACGGGACTCGCGAGCCTTGGGGAGAGCTAGGAACTTGCGAGGGCACGTCGGGGGAGGTCGACGCCGGAGGGCCCGGTGGGCGAGGGGACGGCGACGGAGCGGCGTGAGAGGACGAAGCCTCGGCGTCGGACGCTGAGGCTTGCGGTGACGGCGCCGAGGATGCTCGCGGCGACGGCGACGGAGATGGTGCTTCCCTCGCCACTTCCGCAGGCTGTGGAGACGCCGGAGTGCGAGCGTGCGGAGGCGGCGAGGCTTGCGACGACGAGGGGCCCTGTGGCGGCGACTGGCGGGCAGCCTGGGGAGAGGTCTGGCGGGGGGTCTGGGGGGCGCCGTGGGGGCTGGCGGGTACTTCGAAGGCGCTCTGGTGTCCTTGGTGAGGACCTTGATGTGACGACTGCGCGCCGTGGAGCATAGGCCCAGGGCCGTGATGACCTGGCAGGCCGTGAGGGCCCTGCCCGTGGAGAGGCCCGTGCAAGCCTCCGTGCGGTGGGCCGTGCAGTCCGGCGTGGCCGTGGAGTCCATGGGGGCCGTGGAGCGGGCCGTGTGGCCCGTGCAGCGGGCCGTGCATGGAGCTGAGCGGGCCGTGCGGGCCGTGCACGCCGCCGTGCGGAGGGCCATGCAGGTGGGGGTGGCCGTGGTGTGGCGGCCCTGGCCCGTGGCCGTGATGCAGAGGCCCATGGCCGTGGTGCAGGCCGCTGTAGAACGCGTGGGGGCCGCCGTGTGGACCGCCGTGGGAGGCAGCGTGGTGGCCACCGTGGGGAGCGCCGTGGGGTACAGCAGTTGAACTGGAGACTGGGCTTGGGGACGGCCCGCGCGGTGGGCCAGGCGAAGGTCCGGGAGAAGGACCTGGAGATGGGCCTTGAGGACCTTGTCCTTGCATGGCCTGGGAGGCACCCGAATGGGCGTGGGAGGGGGCGGGAGGAGACATTTGAGGCACCTGCGAAGGCTGGCTGGATTGGGGAGACACCTGAGAGGAGCTCTGGTGAGGAGGCTGTGGGGTCTGAGAGGGCTGAGGAGGGGTTGGGGGAGGTCCTTGATGCGGTCCTGGGGAAGGGCCTTGAGATGGGCCTGGCGAAGGTCCCTGCGGTGGTCCTGGAGAGGGTCCCTGTGGATGCGGATGTGCCTGGTGGGGTCCAGGAGAGGGACCCTGCTGTCCTGAAGATCCATGAGGCTGGCTCTGAGACGCCATTTGAGAATGCAGCTGAGAATGACTCTGCAGAGGACTTTGATGAGGACCTTGATGTGGTCCGTGAGAAAGGCTGTGAGGATATCCATGAGAGAGGCCATGAGACAGGCCATGTGCAAGACCATGAGGCAGGCTGTGAGACGGGCCATGTGACAGACTGTGTGAGAGACCATGAGATGGGCCATGAGGCAGGCTGGGGCCATGGGCCATGCTGTGAGGTAAACCGTGAGTGTGGCCATGACCCATATTTTGCATGTGACCCTGCGAAGACACATGACTGAAACCTTGCGAGGGTCCTCCGGTCATACCTGGTGCTCCTGGAGTGCTTGGAGTGGATGGGGGCTGGCTCGTTGCAGGAGTAAGTGGTCCAGGCCCTAAAACCAGCGAAAAAAAAAAAAAGTCATTTTGTGTCTTTGTGAAGAGCAAACTTTGATTTGTTAAAAAGGAAAAGAAAGAAACCTAAAGGAAAAGAGTAAACACATTCAGTTCACTGTACACACCTGCTGGGCCTGGTGGAGGCTGTTGGGGTCCTGGAGTCGGAGGGCCCTGGTGAGGTGAAGGTCCCGACTGAGGAGGGACTTGTGCTGCTCCAGATGGGGGCGGTCCCCCTGGCGGGCCAGAAGATCCGGGTCCGCTGCCCGGTCCCGGAGAAGCACCTGGGCCACTTGGAGGTTGTTGGAAGCTTGGTGGAGTTGGGCTCTGAGTTGAAGGGGGTGCTCCTTCGATTGGCTTGCCGCTTGCACCCAGTCGAGCATGCGGGGGAAGCAGGTTCCTTGCCATGCTACGGTATGATATGATTTGGAACCGCAGCATGTTCATTTGTGTCGGTGTGAACTGGTACTTTTGAGGCATCTCACTCTGTTGAGAGCCACCGAAGCCCTGAAAAACAGACAAATAATACAAAATCAAAATTCAATGTTCAACAACTCTTTACGCAGAGCAGGCTCTGAAAACACACATCTGCTAACACTATGCGGGGTATCTAATAATGCTATCTAATTGCACGATCTCAACCAGGGTTCTAGATGTCTAGTAACAAAGTTCAATAATACATTTCTTTAAAGTATAGTTAATACACATACAGTTATAAAATATTATGCACACAAAAACAAAAGAGAAAAAAACAGAACACTCTTGAATGATGACCAAACCAGAGAAAATAATAGAGTTGAAACAAAACAATGTACCATGCATGAAATCGCATCAGGCTACAAATATAGTACTCAATGAAAACAAACATGAGCCCGCAGTCTTCAGTATTCTACTATATAACCAGTCACGAAGTTGGCAACTGGGAAGCAAACTGTTGTGAATAATGACAGCAACACACCCTCCAGCATGCAAATTAATGTCCATTTACAGGGGATGACACAGCGAAACGCAAAGGGACAACGTGTCATGGAGAACACTACCACAGCGGACAAATACCACTACCACAACGACCTTGAAAAAATACGGACCTGCATGGGGGGACGCCCGCGCATCATCATCTGAGAATATCGAGGGTCTTCCGCCATACCCTTGTCTTCCATGGAGTCCACGCTCCGCTGCAGGGCAGTCAGGTTTTCCTGGCCACAGCCCTGCCAACACCAATTGCGTCTTCCTTCATCTCTCCTTCTACGCAACTACTAGCCCACTCAAACTAACGTCACATACTATTTCAAGGAGACTGACAGTCTTCTCCCAATCATCAACAAACCCAATGGAGTGAAACCTAACCCTACAGGTGTAGAACAACAAGTGCTCTGAAAACGTTCGCGGGGCCCCAGAACTACATGACAGTTCCTGGCAGACGACTGTAGGCAACCTGGCCGCTGGACTTCCCTACTTGCGGCGCGACTCGCGACCTAGGTGCAAAGAGGAGATGCGGCTAGGTACAACTAGGTGCAGACTGCCTACATGGCACCAAGCCGACCAGGCCGGGGCAACCTAACCTCATTTCCATACGACAACAAACACTGTTATCACTACACCGCGGCGAGCGGACTAGCAGACTACCGCGGGCCGTCCCGCGGCTGGTCAATCTGACTTGTAAGTCAATGGCGGGTAAAAATGTCCTATGGCGCCAGACGCGGCCAGGCAAAAGCCCGGTGGGCGGAAATTAGAGCAGAGAGCGACCTTGGCGACGGCGGCGACGACGGCCTTATCTCGACTGGGCGCCGCGGCCGCACCCTACCCCGCCCGCCCCCGCACCGCGCCTCGCCTCGCCGGCACCGCGGGGAAGTCGACTCCTGTACGTGCACCATGCACCCCTTTAAAATTCAGCAAAGCCACGGCGGCCACCGCTACCACGAGAGGCAGCGGTGGTGCTGCCGGACGAGGGAAGGACATGGGGGATGGGATGGACAAGGACCGGTGAACGGCGCGCTGAAGGCCGCCGTCGGAATCGCGAGTTGACGAGTTCTGGCGCCATTTTTTTGCAGGGTTCAGGCGGTCGCATCGAGACCGCGGCAACGCATCTCGGGCGAGAAGATGCAGGTGCAAGGTCATCGCCGTTATCTCATTACTGAGTCGAGTCGAGCAAGTCGGCGGGTCTGCCTGAGAAAGCCCAGCCGGGGCCACGCCTGGGGAGCCGAGCCGAGGCGGGCACCCCGCCGGCCGGAGACTCGCCAAGGGTAGGGGTGGGAGGTGCACGGGTAGCCCCGGGCCTCGGGGTGCCCGGCAGGGGCACGCTGCAGCACGCTGCAGCACGCTGCGCAGAGCACACGGTTCTGGGGCTGCATCACGCCCCGGCCACGCCGTCAGCACGTGATCCGTGCGTGGCCGGGAGGGCCGGGACGGGGTGGGGGAGGGCGGCCCTCTGCCTCGGCCGGCCGGCATAGTCCGTTTGCCGAAACGTGCATCTTATCTACTCTGTTATGCACGGCGCTATCAAATCCGCGCGCGAAGCCACACCGATCGCGTCGTGCTGTGAGTCAACCGCGGAAAGCAGCGCGAGCAGCGCGCGGCCAGTGACGCCACGAGCCTTCTCCACCCACACGCAGCCCGCGCCGCCCGCCGATATCGGGCGTGGCCGTCAAAAGGGCGCGCACCGCTGGGATTCGAACCCGCGCGACCCGGCGGCCACGATCACGCTGCCTGCTGACGCCAGGCGCGTGCCGCCAGTGCTGCCCGCCGGCCGAAGCGTGCGCTGATCTCTGCACCGGCGGACACCTGCAGGTGCAGTGCGGTGCAGCTGCCGCGCGCCGACTGGCCGGCCACACGGCCAGGGGTTGCGCCACGGCCGTCTGCGGCGTGTCTGTCCGCGGAGCCGACACGGAGCGGGTTTATTTCGTTCTGGAAGGTTTGGCCGGCAATCGGCAAACATCCCCCGGGCGCGGCGCGGCGATACGAGGGAAGGGCCGCGGCCGGTCGCGTGCCGGGCCGGCGAGCGCGGGGCGGAGCGGCGGAGCGGAGCGCGCCGCAGCGGAAAAGTTCCGGCCGGCGCAGCGAACTACTCTTTGCGCTGTGCACGCGTTGCACGGGGGTTGCCAGCAGCACGCTGGGGTGAAAACATTAGTACTCGGCAAACACGCCCCGCCCCGCGGGGCCCACGCTCGCACCGCGTGGACAGCCACACGAACGGCGGCACGGCGGCCACGCCGCAAATGACGAGGCCGCGCCCCACTGACGACGTTCCCGCCCGTTCAGATGCGTGTCCTGTCGTTTTCATCCGCCGGTTCAAACGTTCAAACCACTCGCTGGGCCGCCATGCCGCGCCACGCGAACACTGTTTGCAATTACGATAAGTGCAATCACGCACCGAGCCCGTGGCGTGCGGGGCGTGCGGCCCGGCCGGGGAGGGGGAGGGGCACCCCCGGGAAATGTTGGAAATATTCCGCCCTCGGCTCCCTTTCTCCTCGCCATGTTCGAACCCTGCGCAGGCTTAGGAAAATTTCGGCGGTCCGGGGGAGTGGGTCAACGCGCCTCCAGCCGCTCCAGCCCGGGCGGGGGAGAGGGGGCGGGGAGCCCTGCCCTATCCCTTCGCAGGCTTAGGGCAGCGTCCCTCACCCTCCCAAACTAAACCTGACGCACGCAACTACCTGTGGAACTTTCCATGATCAGAAAGCCGTGCCACAGCGCCGCTGCGCCGCCACAACACAAAAGGGGGTGGGGTGGGGAGACAAACAAGAGGAGAAAAAGGCCCTAAGAAAAGGAGACGGTTCTCACAGGACGAAAAATTCCCAACTGCAGACACCCCCTGCACTGTAAAATGTAAATTCTGAGCGAGGGCTGTTATGCATACAAACGGCCTAGAAAAGTTGCAACTACACAGCACATACAGTACCAGTGCGAAACAATTTGAACCGAGGCCCAAAAGTCGTTAGCAAAAGCATGTGGTGCTGACACATTGACAGGGGCGAAAATGATTTCCCAAATCGGGGGAATAATTTAGCCGACCCCATCAACGCTAGAACGGTCAGCCGGAGGTCGAGGACAGGAGAACCATTTAACGAGACATCCGCGTGCCCCCCCTCTTTTCCCCTAGAAAAAGTTAATGGACCGCCAGGCTGGGCGAACAAATGTACAAATAGCCCTTTGCCTACACCTGATCATTGATGCTACAAGCCTCCCGAGGCGGAAAATGAAAAAGATTAAAATGGCGCCCACTACAAGTAAAACATGACATGTGGATGTTGCGGGTGATTTAACGGCGCCGTGATAAGAGTTACTTTTGGATGACGAGGCAAAACACACAACGTTACACTTGAGCAGGGGGACGCCAAAGCTTGCCGTAAGCCAGCCGAGCGCCACGCTAAACATTTACCCCAACGTCGCGTCACGGCCACGCCGCCACGCGGCGACAAAACCGCGACAAGATTGGTCCCGGGGCCACGTCCGGAAACTTGTTCTCTCATTCAGACTGCTCGCAAAACACCGACCAAGGGACAAAGTAGCCAAACAAACTGCAGCACGTAAACTCGAGCTCTCACGGCGCCCGTCAGCATGCACCACGCCAACACGCTCAGACAACCTTCCGCGTAAAACGCACCTGCAGACAACAGTTTCATTCCCCGGAGAGAGAGAGAGAGAGAGAGCGAAACCACACATGGCACGTGGAATTTAGAATTCCAAGTTGAAGCAAAGCAACAATAAAACTTCGGAGACATACTAGTCGAACGCAGATCCAAACAAAACCACGCACCTCCACTGCGGGGAAATCAGACACGGTCGAACACAGGCGTCGCCCTCTCACCCACTTCAAAGCAAACTAAACACGAGTTCAAACATTTTCGTCTTAGAATGTTCAAAAATCAAAACATTGCCAAACTTTGGGCCGATGGCAAGTTTGATGGCGCTGTTCAATGTTGTTGGCGAGGGCTTGGGCCAATCAGGGAGCTCGCTCGCCCCGGCCATGCGGCTCCCCCACCCCGCCCCGTCTGTTTACCCCCGGCTAGCATAAAAGCAGAGCGCACCGACCCGAGCATCACAGTGTGCCTGAGCTTCCCATCCGAGACGCATCTCTCCGCACAGCATCGCCTGCCCGACGCCAGTCACTCTTCTCGACGAGCATCTTCACGTCAACCAACTCCGTCAACATGCCTGGACACGATTTGGACTTATACTTCAACACCGCCCTCGGCCTCGCCAAGGAAGCCGGCAAGGTAAGCAGCACTCTTGGTTACGACTTTGTGGCAGAACGGCTTGTGTTCGAGTTGGCCGCGCTAGAGCCGTCCCGTCCGCGCTGTTGACTCGCTCGCCCCATTCGACATGTGCGTGACATGGCCCGGTACTTGTTGTTGTAGATCGTCAAGGAGGGTTTCCTGACCTCCAAGAACGTGGTGGCCAAGGCCGTCTCTTGGGACTTTGTCACCGAGTACGACCAGGCGTCCGAGAAGTTCCTCATCTCTGGCCTGGCCAAGGCCTTCCCCGCCCACAAGTTCATCGGCGAGGAGACCGTGAGCGGCAGCAACGAGGAGCCCGTCCTGACCGAGGAGCCCACCTGGGTCATCGACCCCATCGACGGAACCACCAACTTCGTGCACGGCTTCCCCCTGACGTGCATCTCCATCGCCCTGGCCATCAACAAGGAGGTCGTCCTCGCCATTGTGTACAACCCTGTCTACGACCACATGTTCACCGCAAGGAAGGGCCAAGGCGCCTACCTCAACGGCGAGAGGATCTACGCTTCAAAAGAAACCGGTAAGTCAATGTCCCACTGTCAGCGAAATTGAGTTTCTTCCTAGGCAAATGCTAACTTGTTAAACTTTGTTCTTGCAGACATCAGCAGAGCTGTAGTCGCCCTGGAGCTTTCACTTGCCAGAGATCCTAAGCTTCACGACAAGATCATGAACAGGGCTAAGAGCATCATCTCCACCGCCACTGGGTAAGTTCAATTCTATGGAGTACAAGTTTCCACAAATGAAAGTTTTCTCTGTAATTGCTGAGACTAACAATTTGTTCCACCCACAGCATCCGTGTGACTGGTTCCTGCGCTCTATCCCTCTGCTACGTGGCCTTAGGAAGCTTCGAAGCCTACCAAGTTGACCACCTCCACAGCTGGGACGTCGCAGCAGGCTCTCTCATCATCACCGAGGCTGGCGGTGTTGTGGTAGACACCAGTGGAGACAAGTTCGACATGATGGCACACCGAATTCTGGCTGCAGGCACACCCCAAATTGCTGAGTCTCTATCATCACTCATCAAGAAGGCAGATGGTGAAATGAAAGCTATTGCCAGCTAATCCTTTGAACTCTGTGATATTATATGTAGGATTTTCTCCTGAACTGCGATAATTTGCCTCTGTGAGGTCTGTACAAACTGATAGATATATAATTTTAATTTTAGTCATAATGTAACACCATCTCATGTACGGCATAAGATTTGTGTTAAATTTTAAATTGAAGACTGCACTTTTATACATATGATTTATAATAAACTCGAGTATTTTTAAACTTCAACTTGTGATTTTCCCCACCTGACCTTCAAAGCACACATTATGAATTGAATGGAATATGGAAAAATACTACAGCTTTCTGGTTGCCAAATACATAGAAGCAGCACACTAAGATGAAGTCAATTTCAGCAGTTATTGCCATCAGTAAAGCCTGTGCCCACAGTATCTGCCATTTACTCGACCCGCTAGCTCCATCCATGCAACGATATACTACTTGCACATACCTGGGGAGGACCCGGATTCGCCATGCCATGCTGGAATCCTTGGCCGAGTCCAATGTTGCCCGAAGGCCCATTCATGTGCATTCCTGGAGGTGGGCCGTGCCCAGGGTGGCCTGAGGGCTGTCCAGGACTTTGAGCCGAATGAGGTGGAGGTGCCGAGTGGCCAGGTGTATGAGGTCCCGGAGGGCCAGCACTGTGTGGTGAAGATGGAGGGTGACCTGCAAAATGATCCAAAGACGGGGATACATATAGCTGACAGTCACTTTTTCTTTCAGTGAAAAATTGGTTAAACTTCAAAGTGCTTTAAACTTATGTAGCAAATTGACAAGATCAAGCGAAATTTTACATAACAGAATAATAGGTGAAGGGCATAACAAAATGTTAGTGCTTTCTTGTCTTTTTATTACTAAAATAATCTCAATAACACAAGGTAGGCACCATGCCGCACCTGAAGGAGTATGGCTTGGGGCTGGGTGGGATGGGGGTTGATGGCCAGAGCCAGGGTGACTCTGATGGCTAATAGGATGTCCTGGGTGTTGACCAGGATGCTGGCCAGGGTGTTGGCCTGGGTGTTGGCCAGGATGTTGGCCGGGGTGTTGGCCAGGATGTTGGCCAGGGTGCTGACCAGGATGCTGGCCGGGGTGCTGCCCTGGGTGCCCCTGCCCCATGTGACTTGGGTGGCTAGGGTGGGAAGGACTCTGTCCAGGATGACCCTGGCTTGGGTGAGCTTGCCCAGGATGTCCCTGACCAGGATGAAGAGGGTGGCCGCCAGATCCGGGATGTCCTGATCCAGGGTGTCCGGGAGGATTGTGTCCAGGTCCGCCTGGATGTCCTGACGACGGATGGCCGGGGCCTCCTGGATGTCCTGAACCCGGGTGGCCAGCACCAGGGTGGCCTGAGCCAGGATGACTTGATCCAGGATGCGATGCTCCAGGGTGTCCGGGTCCAGGATGCCCAGAGCCTGGGTGCCCTGAGCCAGGGTGGCCCGGTGAGGGGTGGCCAGCTCCTGGGTGTCCAGATCCAGGATGTCCGGAAGCGGGATGGCCAGATGATGGATGCCCAGGCCCGGGATGGCCGGAACCAGGATGTCCTGGCCCAGGGTGGCCGCCGTGAGTCGGTGCAGAGTGGCTGCCGGGATGCCCCTGACTGGGGTGTCCAGGTCCTGGATGTCCTTGCCCTGGATGTCCTTGACCTGGATGGCCTTGCCCCGGATGTCCTTGTCCTGGGTGTCCTTGTCCAGGGTGTCCTTGTCCGGGGTGTCCTTGTCCGGGGTGTCCTTGCCCCGGATGTCCTTGTCCAGGATGTCCTGGACCAGGATGGCCTTGACTGGGGTGTCCTTGACTGGGGTGTCCTTGACTGGGGTGTCCCTGTCCTGGATGTGGTTGGCCAGGGTGGCCAGGGTGGCCCGGGCCGGGATGTCCTGCCTGAGAAGGATGACTTTGGCTGGGGTGACTTGGCCCTGAATGTTGATTATGGTGGCCAGGGTGTCCTGCAAAACAATTAAATAAAAAATTAATTTAAATATGAAACTAAGAACACAAACATGCTTTTACAAATGGCACATGATAAAAATAATAACTGATAATTAATTAAATCTCACCAGGATGTCCTTGATGGCTTGGGTGGCCAGGGTGGCCAGGGTGCCCAGGGGGTCCTTGCGAAGGATGTCCATGATGGACATGATGCGAAGGAGGCCCTTGGTGCTGTCCCGGGTGACCAGGCGCCCCAGGGTGGCCAGGCCCTGCATGCTGTCCAGGGTGCCCTGGGTGCCCTGGGTGAGGTGGATAGCCTGTGGGGCCTGGGCTGTGTGGGTGGTGGTGAGATGGAGGCCCCATTGGTGAAGGAGAATGTGATGGTGGAACCATCCCAGAAGGTGATGGCATAGGGGATGGCGACTGTTGTGGTGGCCCCATCGGAGATGGAGTCTGTGGCGGGGGCATGGGAGAGGATTGCGGTGAAGGGCTTGCCATCTTGCCCTTCACTTATCTGCAAAACGCAATAATAAAACGATAAAAAACACAAAAGTTAAATGGAGTTGGAAAATTTATTACAATATGTTGTGATTTCATAAATGCACAATTCTAGCTAGTAGTTTTAGTCCCAGGAGAATACACATGAATTTTAGTTCGAATTTAGACAAAAGGAAGTGTTTTAGAAACAAATCAGTAATGAGCAAATGGTTTCACAGTGAATTTTTACCCACAAGAAAGACAAACCGCTACGGTCGACAGCCCAAACTGAAGATTGAGAAAATTACACACTACATTTTGAGTCATGGGAGAGGTTAGCAACGCCCCAGCAGTTTCTAATACAGATAACCTCAAAGGGCCCTAGCAGACAGAAAAATATTGTAAACTGACCGAGAACTCTGATATCACCGAAATAATAAATAAAATTGTCCATTAAATACGTGAGATTGCATGATTTCTCGTACAAGAAAATACTTGAAGCCGTGTAAAATTTTGCTCCCCACTACCCTTCCAACGACCCGGGTTAGGCCACAAGACGCAGCCCGGCTCCCACACGGCTTAAAATTGTGCACATAGCCCCGTTTGCAGTCTCGTCTGAGAAATCAAGTGGAAATTGGAAGTGTGAATTTGTGTGAGACAAATAATGCTGTATTTGTAGCAGTATATCTACAGAAAGGTCGGGAACGAGGCTACCCAACCATGAATAGGAAGCATCGAGAGACGCTAAAAGTCGGCTACTTACTTTAGCTCTTGGAGCTTTTCCACTAGATTAAAACCATTCAAACGTTGGCTCCCACTTCTCACATATTTGAGGTGAAATAGAAATTTGTTCACCAATTTTTCTGTTACGTAAATTCATTCGATAAATGTAAATAAGTCTCTGATTCGGCGAAGCCGTCCACTATGCCCAAATAAAAACAACACCGCTGCTGCTTTGCTGACGGACGCCGTCTCACTACCAACTTTGACACCAAAAATACTTCGGTTCCGAAAATTTATTATTTGAGCACCGTTATCTTTTAGTTGAATTACTTATTTCCTGGATAGCTCATGGTATTGTTACATATCTTTGAAGATCTTAACTACAACGTGAAAACTGGAAAATCTTACGGAAAGAACCGCAAGCGGTCGTGGAGGAGTCCAGCAAGCCGTGACTGAGACACCATCACTTTCCAATCACATTTTTTAAATTAAAGTTCCCTTTGGCCCAGTAAATTGCGGTAAATTGTTGAAAATGAACTAAGATTACGCAGATTAGTATTTTCCTGGGTCTGTTTCGGCCAAACTTTAATTCATACTTTTTTTTTGGTGTCCCAATCGTTTATTTCCTCGTGAAAAAATAAAATTGTTGATTACGGAGTAAAATGGTGGAATGGGATGGTAGAAAATAAAGGTCACACTCATATATTCATTGTGAAAGTTTAATACTATAGATACTCTCAGGCATCACTCACACAATTTATCACATAATAATCAACTCTCCTCGCCAAAATTGTATGATGTTGGAATCAAATTTTCAGAACATGGCAGATGGTTACACCAAACACTATACAAAACGTTTTATTCACACAAGAACTCAACAATCGAAATACTTAAGCGCTGTACAGACTTAAAGAACAAAAAGCATAAAACAAAAATTTTGGATCAGCAAACTTGAATTAAAACTAGAGCTTATCTTCAATATACATGGGACGGATAAAAGTAAAAGAAAAGATTTGGTAAGTTGATCCTACTACGTACATGAACCACATGAAGCAATGGACAAGACTGTAATCACCGAAAACTTCATTAAATTAGGACATGACCTCACTGAGAGCCTTGGAGTAGATAGAACTTCCCACACAGTGAGCAGGTCCAGGCAAAAAAAAAATCGTCAAACTAGGAAAATAACATTTGAGTACATTGCATCCTTAATTTAAACAAGAAGTCAAGACAACGTCCATTGCGGAAAAGAAAGAAAGAATGTCATGGATACAGCTTTTGATCTACATTAATTAGGTATTGAGTCAAACAAAACATGTACCTTAGAATTTTAAAAATGAAGAAAGAAAGCAATTAACAAAGTCACAGTGAGAGTAGGTAAGGAATGCATGTATACTTATGAGTTAAGTTGCTGCCAGTTAATAGTAGTAGCGACTCAACTAAGGCCCACTAAGCGAGGATGCGGTTCCTCCACCAACAAAAGCGGGTCAAAAATAAGATAACATCTGCACACAAGCAGCAGAAGAAGAAATGGATTAATTCAAATATTAATATTGACAAATACACATGGTTTTACACTTTATTTATTAAATACAAATTCACAGAAAAGTAAATAAATTGAATCTGTACATGTGAAAGAAATATCTAACATAAAATAGACAAAAATCAATCTTGAAATAAAATTAAACAGTGCAAGATAAAATAACAAGAACGTTCTCACTTTAAAAGAATACCAACTGAATTCTATTACTTTTATGTACATCAAAAGTCACCATTTTAAAATAGACAGAAAAGTGACATGTAATTAGAACTATTTACAGAAAATATTTACAGACAACAGACTATTCTTATTTACAGGAACACAACATATCAACCTGAACCACACTGTCATACCATAGCTAACATCAGTCATTCTAGAGCATTTACTTATTAGATTTTCCTAACATATTAAATATTACCTAAAAGTTGCAGCACACTACAAACAGGCCTCCAAATGTCAGCTGAATGGTCACTGCCCAGTCTACAAAAGCAAGGTTTCAATAAAGAAAGCATTGTAAAATGCAATTGGATTGAAATAAAAAAATCTCCAAGACAGGAAGACCATACAAAAGGAGAGAAGAAAATACAGGGCAAAAAAGCAACAAGATGGCTAATATGACACATACTAAGCTGACATTTTCCTCGAGGTGTGTGCTTGCAGAACATTTACAAGGAAGAAATGCAAGACACAAGCCCACTTCACATAACTTTCATGTCAGCAATATTTTGTGGCACTTTCTAAGCCTCACTGCAATTGACCAGTGTGCAGATAACTTTCTACGTAGTTAAATGATTTTTAAATGCATTGATTGGCAACAAGTTTCAAAGGATTAAAATTTTGAGACCCAGTAAAGGCTCATTGCATTACAAAGAATTTTCTACAAAAGAAATACAATAAATTACATCAGAACAGTACATGATAGAGAAAGCCCTAAAAGCAGTTGATGAGTGATTTCCACCTAAAACTGCCTAAATTGCATCAGATCAATACAAATGCTGGTATCATAAAACATTGAAACAAATAATGCAGGAATCTTTCTGTTGAAGGGAGTGGGGAGTATAAACATAATTTTGGTAGGACCTGTGACGTTACAAAATATAATTCCCTTGTGTCATGAAACTTCTTCACTTATACTCAAACTACACCACACACCTTGTAATACAAAAATAATTATATCTTTAAAAAAGTGAAGCACAACTTGTAACTTGAACAATACCTCCATAATTAACAGTCTTCATGAGTGATGCTTGTACTGACTCTTGCTCACCACCTCACAACAGTTTCACACTTTTCTTAGATCTAAAAACGATATGACAGCAGTTGCAACAAAAATAAAACAGCTCATCGAGTTAAATTTTGCTAACAAATCTAGAACGAAAGCAATAATCAAGGCAACAATTCTCCAAATCCTTAATTGTTACTCTTTATTTTTACGTCAATTTGTAAAATGAATATATTTCAAGGGGTGCTTTAAGAATTACACAATCTAAAATGTGTAGCTTAAAGGTATGTAACTAGACATGACATATGTCCATACAACCCAAGTATGCTACTTGCCGACTAGAGTGATCGCCAGATCGATCTATTTTAATGACAAGTTATGTAAACAAATGAATTAAAACAAAAAACTTCACTGCTCATGTACGCACATAAGCTGAAGCACAACAGTTATGTTAACAGCACCCGCTTGATGTCGTAGATGCTTAGTACCAGTAGAGGGTGAAAGTTTGAGCAGATGATAGCCACCACACTGTCTCTGACTCCCTTACATATTGAGAAACCACTTGACCTTGTTCAAGTGGTGGGCCAATGTACTACGGGCAGATGGACGATTAACGTCATCTGCCCGCATGGGGCCCTAGGAGTTATTGAACAGTGTACATTCAATGTAAGATGTTGGGACAAAGCCTTCCTCGGTGTCTCCCTGTCTTCGAACTCGCGTCCACCCATCTCCTTGGTCCAACTCAATGATGTGGAGTTCTTCACCATCGTACATTGGAATCGAACCCTCACTGGTGGCTAGAGTAAGAAACACGATGAGAGATAAGTTAGGGCTAGTACACTTTAATGTTGTTACTTTTAGTTAAACACAACATAGCACACCTTCAAACGGATAAAGTGCTCTGCACATTCCTAATGCAGGAAGTTGGTCGGCATCATAATACTCGGGTTGAGCATTGCCATCAATGTCTGTAGGCTCCGGTTCATCTGAGTCCGGCAAGGAAGTATGTGATGTGCCCAGTCCTGACTCGGGGCTGTGTGAAGAGCTACATGTTACACACCAGTGTCGTTAGACACAAAAATATGACTAGATATTGGGAAGATTTTAAGACTTGATAGATAGTGACTTACTTGTGGGATGGAAGAGGGGTTCCTGGAGCTGACTGCTTGTTATTTGTTGTGGGGTTTGAAACACTTGAGTCTGATGCTGAGCGGCTGAGAGATTCTTCTTCCCCACCCGAACCTCCACTATGTCTGATCAAAAAAATTCAAAGCATATCAATCAACAAGAGCAAAAATGCAACATAAGAAACATCGAAGAGAATGAACTAGCATTTACCTGTGATTACGCTGCCCCGCCCCATTAATCAAACGAGGAGGTTGTGATTTGAGCCGTCGGCCGGGCACTGAGGGGGATACATTCATGATTGAAGCACCATTGTCCTGAGCATCCTCAAGATACATTTGGAACTTGTGTTGTTCCTGTCTGAGCTTGTCTAGCTTATGGCCACTTTCATTTAGCTGACCCTCTATTGACATAGGATCACCCAATGCTGGATTTTGTTCATAAACTCCTTTCATTTTCATTAAACCATCCCTTCAAACAAACAAATATTTTCCGAATGAGGACACAAGCCAAAGTGCACTTAATTGATGAATATTTTATCTTGTATACCTGGCAGCAGTCTCTTGTTGAATTTTAGCAGAAATTTCCTCTAAACGTTGCTGCAATTTCTTCTTCCTTTGATTGGGAGGTAGGTCACTGTAGTCCTCCTTGTTTTCACCATAAGGAGATAGATTGTTCTACAATGTAAGAAGAAACAGCAAATTAATTGCAAGCAATAAAGGGATATAAAATACCTTTTCTTATTTCTTTCAGGAAAGCATGTTAGTTTTCTTATGAGCTAAGAGGAATATAAGCTTAAAGCTACATTTGTACATTAAATGAAGATTTTAAACACTTCAAGACAAAAGTTAGTCATAGTACACTTTTATGTAAAAAGCTGTTTATCTTTTCTAAAAAAAATTGACAAGACCAAAATGTAATAATCAGAACATATGTTAAAATATTTCATAAGGAACCAAAGGAGACAGAGAGAAAATCTCTAGATAAGTGGGATAAGAAGTGCTATTATAGGAATATCTAAGCTTCTCCTCTGATATAAAGCTAGGGAAAGCCTTCCTTACATAAAACCTTGATAGATTCATCAATGACAGAACAATTGATAAGAATAGAGCCATGCACATGCAATTGAAGAGACGCCAACAAAGCAGCAACAATGGATTCAGAATAAGGTCAGTACACAAGCAGTTTCTTAGACTCGATGGCCACATTATGTTCTTTTAATGTGTCTGGCACATTCATACTTACAAAAAATAGCAGCAGAGAAGGCCAGACACCACCAGCACCAAGTTGCAATGAAATTCAGACAGGGATAAGACCAAGATTCAGTCAGAGAGGGAAGAGAATTAAGGCAGACCAAACCAAAGTTAAAGTCAAGCAGTCAGTATTAAAACTGATGAAACAGTAAGAGAAAATTGATGTTTTGGTCAAATTTGGATGGTGTACTTTGGATCATTGTTTATTAAAAAGGACCTTCAAGAAATAACAGAGGGCTGTTTCCCAGCTTCTAAACCACAAGAACACTTCTGATATTTTTCAGTGATAAGATAAGTAAATGAAACCAATCAATTTTTAAAATGGTAACTACATTCAAACCACACAACTGACTAGTAAAATACTAGGATTTATAATTTTAGCTAAAATGGAATTGCCTACAGTTTTCAAATTTTGAAGTGCAACCACTCAAACAAAAAAGAGCCTGGTCTTACTTTGATACAACTGATTGTATGTTAAAATACATACACTCCTTAATTCTTTTTTGCATACCAAAAGAGCCAGGACTTGTAAAACAGAAAACTTCAATACTCATCAATGATTACTTGTGCAGACAAGTATTACACCAACCAGGTAATTTTACACAAACACATGCATAGTATTGTACGACAAAAAATGGTAAGTTCACAAAGACTTTTGTTTCAGATCTGAACAAGTCAATAAAAAAAAAGAAACAAAAAATTATTCTCTCAAAGAAAAATCATCTTTAATTTAAAATATGGAATTCTGAGGAATAAGAGTAAGTCTGACAGAAAGAATTAACCAGACATACCCATAATAGGGAGCAAAAGCAAAAGAAAATTTGGGAGAGATGCACATTCCAGTGAGAAATGAATCCCGTCAAGTAAACGTTCAGCTGCAGTTATTTGTAAATACTGTACTTCCAAACAAGGTAATTTTAGGCAACGTATTGAATGACCATGAAGCTCCTATAATTTAACTTTATGACAGAACTGCAGGAATTTTCTGGATGCACACATGATGTACTTAGAAATTTGCACTGCAAACTTTTGTTGCAAATTAATAATAAAATGTGAAAGGTACATACCTTGTTAGAGCTGAAAATGTTAAAAATTCCTACTCTCTTCTTTAATTTATTAGCAGACATCGTTCCTCTGACTGTTATGGCCTCTGGTCTGATGGATGTGATGGCATTATTTATAATCATTGGCTGTGCATCACCACTCTTCAGAGCACTGAGATCTTCAAATTGGAAATCACCAGGAGGAATGAAGCCAGACTTATATCGTTCTATCACCATTTGTGTGTCCTATAACAAATTTAAAGTAATGAGTGTCATACAAGGAAAAGTAAAAGAAAATTACAGTAATGTACAAAATTTGTAGATGCTTACCTCTTTTTCATTTATTTGATCTGCTGCTCTGATAATTCCGTCTAAGCATTGGTTTATAATTGGAAAAACACTCCTTTCAATGTCTACGGATTGTGTCATAAAATTCTTTATGTTTTTGATTCTTTTCTCATCTAGCTCTTGCAAGTGTTGGAAAATATCTGGCATAAGATGCTGATAGTGCTGTGCCTAAATTTTAAACAAGTAATGCATGTTATCTTATGTTTGTAATGCAATACTGTAGCATCAAAGCAACCCCGCTATTTCCAAAAGGAAAGCAACTAACCTGAAGGTCATTAGTTTTTTGTAGTTGATTGGCATACTCATTTTTTGCATCTTCACACTGTTGTGATTTGATTGTCATGTTAGTTCTTTGCTTTTCAACATCCATTCGTGACAGAGCAAGGTCTGCATCAGCTCTCTGATAATTGTCTAGGGCTCGCTCAGCTTCTTTGAATGCCTTCTCATAATTTTTACGAGCTCTTTCAAGAGTTGCTATTTGATTGCTCAGACTTGTCATCATTCTAGCTCCATCTTGTAAATGCTAAGAGTGAAGAGAACAATAATTAATCTCGAGCTTTAAGAAAATTTAATAAAAGCAAACATTAGAAATTTTGAGAAAAAGTAGTACCTTTTTCCTGTCCTCTTTAAAATCCTTGACAAGCATATTAACTTCGCGGATAATGTGAGTCTGCAAATTTTCTGCGATAACCTCATGCTGTCCAGCTAAATCATTGACCTCATTCATTACAAGTTTGAATGCTCTGCATGGGCTGTACCTGTAGGCACAAGATTGAAAAAAAAATTATCAGCACTGACACAAGAAAGCGACACTAAATAGGTGTTGTTTCCTAAAAATAAGACACCCACTGATAATCTTCCTCCTCCTTCTTCTTGGGCTGGTGGTTCTTGACAAGCCTCCTGGAACAGAAAAGAAAACGAGTTGAAAATGAGAGTCTTGGGTGGGTCATCCGAACGTAGCCATTTGGGCCAGAGCCAGGCGCCAAGTCGGGTCACGTCACGTCACGGGTTTAACCACCGCCAAGCCGAGTGCCGAGCGCAGAGCGTGGCGGCCAGTGCGTCTTGCGCTACGCCAGCTGCGCTTGGTTTTGAACCCAGGGCATCTCCGTGGAAAAGGTCGCCGTGGCCCCCCTCAATGCGCTCATCCCGATGCGGTGCGGGATAAGGCATTCTCTCTGGCCGACACTGCGCTGGCTGGCTGGCAGGCTGGCTGGCGGGTCAGTAAACTGCCGCACTTTATCGGCAAGTGATATGGTGGCGCCGTGCACGCCGGCGGGGCGGACGGCGGACAGGTGCATCACACTCTCGGGGAGGTGCACGCGGCGCGCAGCACCGCTTTCCTTCCTTGCAGCATTCGACGCCGTCCTCGGCGGCGCCGACCCGACCCGACCCGACCCGACCCCGGTCGCGTGGTCGCGTCTTGCGTCAAAGCGACGCCGCGCCGCACCGACGGCCACAAGTACGTGGGCGTGCTTTGTTGCACCGGTCCACGCAGTACGGAAAGGGAAGGTCACGCGCGGCCAGACCCAGGCCCGCCGAGCCCGTCGCGGAGCGGAAAAAAGAGAGGTGAAAACACCGAAACCCCTTCTCCCGACCCGAAAAAAAAGACGAAAACAAACGACAACTCTATTTCGAAAGCACACTAGGGCCAGGGCCTTGACGATTACGCGGGGTGACAGCCGTCGTTTTTTTCCCCCTTGCCACTCCACTGTGCCCCTTTCGCGCGACGCGCGCCCCGGGCAGGGTCATCCCATCCCCGGGCCTCGGCCGCGACCGCCGCGACGACGGGGCCCTGGTCCCTGGTGTCTGGGGGCGGGCAAGGCAGTGGCGCGGCCACACGGGCACGCGGCCACGCGCTCCTTGTAGGGGACGGGGAAGGCACGCCGCTCGCCCCGCCAAGGGACACGGCAGACACGGCCGCGCGGCGACACGGCACACGGCCGGGGCGTTCCAGTGCGTCGGTCCCAGTGCGTTCCACTTGGCTCCGCGTCCCCGTCCCGCACCGACTGGTGCCGCACTGCTAAGCGATTCCCCGTCTCTCTCGCACCCAGACGAAACGCCCCGCGAGTGCGAGTGAGACGGAGCGACGAGGCGAAACCATACCGCTGATGCCGCTCTCGGCATGACGGCGTGTCTCACTTTTGCAGCAGTGCAACAACACGGCCGCCAGTCGATCAATCATGGCAAGGCGGGCACCGGGCGGGCACGGGACACGCCGAGACCGCGAGACCGCGAGGCAGCCATACACTTGGCCACTTAGAGACATCTGTTGCGCGGAGCGCACTTGCACGCCCTGGGCGTAAGTCCATCAACTTGGCACCGCGGGCCGATGGCCGACGGGCACGCGGCTCGGGTGCGCGGTGCGTCGCTATTGGCGGACACCTCGGCCGCCTCCGCGCCTCGCACCTGTTGTGGGCTTTGTGGGCCAGCTCGGGCGTCGGGCACCTCGCTGCCCTTTGCGCGGCCGTGCCTGGCCGTGCCCGCAGCGGCTAAAGTGTCTGCAGTGCCTGCAGGACTCCAAGTCGCGAGTCCCCAAAGGCCAAAGGACGAGGTTGTCACCGGAAAAGGAGCGGGGCCAATTTCACCCCGACAGACCGACTGGCCGCCGGGCGGCAGGCAGATCCCGAGTCTCTCTCTCTCTCTCTCGCACTCACGGGACCGAGAGACGGGCCGACGAAAGCAGCACGGCAGCACAGAGGCCGCGAGGCCGGGCAGCAGCACGCGCGCAGCCTTCGCGTCCCCGCGAGGCTTGCTTGGGCTTGCTGCCCCACCCCCGTCCGTCCCCCTCCGCCCCCGCTTTGGCGTCGCGGTCACGGAGGTGCCACCGACCGGGAGCCGCCGAATTAATTCGCCAGTATAGTGGCGGGCTGTGCTGCCTGGCTATGCCGCCGCGGCCCACGACGACGCCAGCCCGCCAGGCCGTTCGGGTCGGGCGTGCGGCGCGAGTGGCGCGTGCCCCGCGCCGGCCATTATTGAGAAACGGAGAGTATTTGTCCTTGCTCCGCGCTGCTCCGCGTTGCTCCCCGCCGCCCCTCTCCCCCGGCCACACGGGGCCACACAGGGCCACACAGGGCGGGGTGCGGCGGGGTTCGCCTTCCGCGAGACGGGACGGCGGGGCGTGGGCCGCGTGGGTCGGGTCGGGGGCACAACCCTTCCCCCTCACGTCGGCCCGGGCCGGCCCGACCGTGTCGCGGCGAGGCGCGTTGGACGGCTGCCCAGAGCAGCGCGCGTAGCAGAGCGACAACAAAGTCCCCTCCCCTCCCCCTACGAGGCCCACACGACGACGGCGCACACAACGCCGCCGCCGCGCCGCGACGCAAATCCCAGGACCGCTCGTCGTTTTTACAACTCATTTATTCCCCCGCGTAGTTGGAAAGCGAGCCGGCGGCGACAACGCGGCGTTTCGGTTTTTAACGACATCGCCGCCGACACTTCGGCGCGCGGAGAAACGCAACGCCAACACGTGTCGCCTTGTTTCCTGTTTCCCGTTTTCAATTTTTATGTCCCTTTATGCCCTTTCTTTTTCTTTCCGTCCGAGCGAGCGAGGGCGCGACGCGACGACGCAGGGATGGACCGGCCGGGCCCGGCAGCAGAGCCGAGCAGAGCAGGCGGACGGACGTCGGCGGCATGCTGCCTGCAGGCGGCACTGTGGCGGCACGGCGTGGACTCTGTCTTCTGAACGGCCCCCGTTTTCCTTTCCAGTCTCCAGGCTCGCGGCGACACTGGAAGCCAGCTGGAAGCTGGAACACACTCCCCGGCGAGACAGAAAGGGCGCGGCGACAAGTCAAGACGTCAAGACGCACACGCGGCAAGGTCGACGCGCCGCTCCTGCCTGCCTGCCCGCCGCGCCCTGCGGACGGCGTCACGGGCGTGACCAGGGCGTGACCACGGCGTGACGCACGGCAAGTGGGGCCGTGACTATCGCCGTGCCTTGCCGTGCCGTGCCGCGCCGCCAAGCTACCGTGCTGACCGCGGCGCCGCGGCGTGACCAGCGTCGGGGAGGTCGCTCACCCGCGCGAGGCAGCGCCAGGTAGGCAGCGCCATCAAGGCGTCGTCGGCGTCGTGACGCCTCAGCGACGCCCGTCCCGGCGACGCCTTGCCTCGCCGGCCTCGCCTCCCTCGCCGGCCTCGCCCACCGCGCTGGCCTCCACTCCGCCAAGTACCCGAGGCAGATAAGGGCGTCGGGGCTCCGGGCCCCAATCGACGCCAACCCAACAGAACCGGGGCGAACCGAATGGCGAGGAAAGAGAGCGGCGGCTCCGGCGGCAGGGCGGCGCGGGGGAAGGGGGAAGACGGCCACTCCCACGCCGGGCGAGACGCGCACACTCACACACTGCACACTCACCGGCAGGCAGGAAGCAGCGCGCCGCAACGCCAAGCAACGCGCAGCAACGCGCCGCCCACGAGGACAAGACCCTCACCCTCACCTCCGACACTGCAACGCAACGCCGCAACGCCCCGACGGTGGGAGATTGAAGCCGGTGTCTCCGTGCGTACGCGCGTATACGCAATGCCGAGGTCACCGCGGACGCTATCGGACACCTGCGCGATAACGACCCGACCCGGCGAGCACGCCGATAACGCACCGCGACAGCGTGCGCGGCACGCCTCACTTCCCATTCCGCGCGCCTGCCAAGTCCAAGTCGGACGGTATTCCTGCGGGGTGCGCCCTTTCGCGCGACCGAGAGGAGCCACGGCCCGCCAAGACGCCGCCACGCGCACGCGTTGGCACGCGGCGGCAAGCGGCGGCGTGCCTCGGGCTTGGCCGCCTTCGGGTCCTTCTGGCGCCCGCGGACCCGAGCGCAGGCAGCCCAGCGACACACCGGAGCAGGGCGGCGGCCGCGTTGCCTACCTCGCCCGGCGCGCAGTGCAGTCCCTTCATCACCAGCAGCGACATCGAGATCGAGACCAAGGTTGGCGTGCCTTCTTTGGGGAGGCATCCCGGTCGGCGTCGGCCGGAGACTTAGACGCGCGACGGCAACCCGACGGCGGGCGGGGCGCGGGGGGCGGACAGCGAGGCGAGAGTGATGAAGTCTCTCTCTCGCCGAGAGCGGTCGATGAGATATAGGGGTATGACTCGGGCAAAAGCACACTATGCTGTCTAACGAGATCCCCGCCCCCTCAGCCGGCCTGCCGGCCTCAGCCCGCAGCCAGCACGCTTGCTTGCTTGCTTTTCGCAGCGGGGAACGCCCGACACAATCTACTATCGCTAAAGCAAACGAAGCAGGCCTCTGTTTGCGCTCGTCCTTACCTGAGTTTTCCAGCATATTCCATCTCTATTTGGCATCTGTCCCGGATGAACTGTCCATACTTCTCCAGAAAGTCTATCCCCTTCTGCGTGTGAAATGACAAATTGTCATACTGGTCCTGCAACACACGAGAAACAAAAAACACGGTCAGGCACAGTCGGTCAATCAGCAAAAGCCCTCATCACACAACGCGTTGAGAGGTGCGGACCGAAAAAAAAACATGATCAGTGAGTTCACGAACGAAAAGAGAAAATAAGTTTTGATAGATCACTGCTTCTGCGAGTCGACGCAACGACGACTTTCTTCCCGTAAGAACGGACTGCCGGGAAAATCTATAAAAAACAAGTGGTCCCGAACAAGGGAGTAACAGTGGCAGCCGTCACCACCAGCACCGCCAGCAGCAGGGCTGTCCGTCCGGGGCTGCTGCCTCCAGTCCAGTCTCCAGCCAGCCTCCAGCCTCTCCAGCCGCGCTGCCCCAGGCGTCTTGTCGTCCCGCTGGCCGCGCCGCCTTCGCCGTGCGATTCCAACTTTTCTCGCGGGTGATAGATCCAGTCCGGATCGGGACTGGAGGCGGCAGAACCGAACCGTGCGAAAGAAGGCCTGCGATTTTAAGTGGGAGACAGCGGCCCGTATAAATCAGTGGCGAGGCGAGAGGCGACACAAGCCTTTCAGGCCTTTCACCCGTAAGGCGCGCGGGGATGGGGCGGGGCGGGGCCGCCGGCCGGGGCGCGGCGTGCGGCGCTGTGCCCAAACATTTCTGGAATTCGTTCCGAATCAGTGTCCGGCCGTGTCTGGCACGATGCGCCCGGAGCGGCCTCGTCCTCGCCGTCGGGGAGTCCAGCGCGTCCAGGGCGCCCTGGGCGGCACGTGGGGCGACACGTGGCGGGCAGGGCAGGCCGAGGCCCTTTTGAGGACCTCTATGGAAACGAGCGGGGCAGCGGGGCCCTGCGCGACGCGACGAGCGATAAGCGGCCCGGCCCGGACGCGGCCTGGAAACAGCTGGAAACGCCTCCTGGACCTCGAGGACCTCCTGGAAGATGCAAATCGGGCGAGCCGGCCGGCACCAGCGCGGCGTGGGGCCGCCAGGGGTCAGCGGCGTCAACGCCAAGCACCCTCGTGTCACCCTAGTCGCGTGGGAACCACTGTCCAGCGGCGAGACTCTCCAGCAGAGAGAGGTTCTCCAGCAGAGAGAGGTTCTCCAGCAGAGTGACTCGGAGACTGCAGCAGGACGCTCTTCCCGCTACCGTGGCCCACGTACACGCATTTCGGCGCTATCGCCCAATCGGAGACGAAGGCGGTACAAAAGGCCAATTGAGTCGGCATTCCGCTTGTCCCGCCCCGCCCCGCCCCGCCCCGCCGCGAATCAGCATAAACAATCGGGCCATCAGCTGATACTGCCGCGCCGATAGCAGGCCGGGCCAGCCTGGCCCGGGCCGGCGGGCCGCCCTGGACGCCGGGGCCTTCGATGTAGGGCGGCGGCAGCAGCGGCCGGTGGCGGGCATATGCCGCGTAATTGCGGCCCAACACCAAGTACGTCTTTTTCATTAAGTAGCCACTTTCCCTTCCTGCCGACGAGGCCCAGCGAGGCCCGGCCGAGGCCGTGCGATCGCCAATCAGCGACACGTTTTCGGTACACGTTTTGCGCACCGTGAGCGCCGCCACGACCGTCGTCGTCGTGGTCGTCGTCGTCCGCGCGCCGCGAGTGCCGCGCAGTGCAGTGCCGTGAAGTGCTTGGCCGCCGCACCGCCGCGGGTTCGCCTCCGGGCCGTCTCTTTTCTTTTTTCCCAGCGGGGCGACCGACAATGAGAAGCCACAGCCAGCCAGCCCGCCACACTGGACTGCAGCGTGGCGCGGCGTGGCGCAGTTTGCAGCCGATCGTGAGTAGTGGCGGCTCATAATGAGTCCACGCCCTCCTCTGCCTCGCTCTGCCTCTCCGGGACGACCAGGACGGCCCGACGGCCGACCGGTCGCGCTCATCAGCGCCCTGCCGCCCTGCCGGACATGCACGCCGTGCTGCGTGCTGCAGCCCACTTGCGCTGCCGCCGCGCCACTGCATTTTTACTTCGTCCCCCAACCCGCCTCGCCTTGCCTTGGCTTGCCTTTGTCGCGTCCGTTTCCGAGTCCCTCATCGGGTAATCGCCGCATCACCGCCGCTTTCTCGACAGTCTCCACATGGCATCGCCACATCGCCACGGCATCGCGGGCTGTGGTCTGCGTCCTGCGGGGCGGGGCGGGGCGGGGCGTACCGCTGCCGCCGCAAGTCACCGCCGCGGCCGGCATCGTAACTATGCCGCGTCGCGCGGGCCGCGGGCACCAGTCCAAAATCCCGCCGCTTTTTGCGCAGCCAGCCAACGCCGCGCCGCCGCCTCCACGCCGAACGAACCAATACCACCAACGAGAAAAAGGCCGATTACGCCGCGGACCCCCTAATGGGTTCCTTATTGGGTCCCGTGGCGCGGGTCCCGCCAGAGACACGCGGCGTCTAGAGTGTCTGGAGGTGCGGCCAACGAGCCTGCGCGGTGCACGGCCCTGCACCTGTCGCACCGCCCAGCCAGCCAGTCAGCCAGCCCGGCGTGTGAAAGTGTAGCCTATTCGCAGTGCATCGCCTTAATTGCCCGCGGCCCACACACTGCACACACTACACTATTCGCAGGCCGTTCGATAAGCGGCGCCATCAAGGCCGCCCCGCCCCGCCCCGCCACACCGGATGTCCGGACTGCAGCGCGCAGGGCGGCTCGCGGCGTGGCGGCAAAGTAGGCGAATCATACATGCAGCGCGTCTTGTTTACGACGTTTTAAGGCGCCAGGCCTGTCCTGCCGGCTGTCGGCCTGTCGCCCTGCTTGCCGCATGCGCCCCGCCAGCCGCGCCACTCCGCAGCCACCCGGTCAAGGTCAGGCAGCAGCACAGCCAGCAAGGCTCTGTGGGGGCCGTCCTGGAAGCCGCTTCGCACCGCCCCGCCAGCTTCCTTTCTCCCTTCTCCTTCCTCTTGGGCTTCGAATCAATCCGACCGCGGCGGGGGCCGGGCCCGCCGGGCCTGCGACGACATGGGGCTGCCTCTGCTTCGGTCGCGGCACAAAAACAAAGACAGGACGAAGTGAAACAACAACCCGCCTGCCGCGTGCCGCATCGCAGAGGTGCGTACGTACGTACGTGTGTGGTAGACCGTCACCACCCGGCCCGCTCCCCCTCCCAAAGGTCTCACCTTGAAACTCCAGCCGGGTCGTGCCCCATGTGGGGCCCATGTGGGGCGGCCCTAACCCTAACCCCTTGGCCAGGGCCGGGCCGGCGGGCCGGCGAGGCAGCCAGGGCCGGGCCCGGCCTAGCCCGGCCGTCTTACTTTTGGACCAGTTGGACCGGTATGGCGTCGCGGCCCTCGCGGCCCTCGCGGCCCGGCCCGGCCCGGCCAGCGACGTGGACGTGCCCATCCTGCCCCATCCAGACCAGCGCGCCGCACCGCGCCAGCCGCGCCGGCCGCGCCCAGTACGGTACCGCGGTACCGCGACACGGCCTAGACGGCCTAGACCAGCACCGCGAGGGCAAGGAGAGCACGACCGAGCCAAACCGCCACGCCGAGACTCCGAGCCCGGCCAGGCAGGCGAGCCTTACACTCGTCCATTCATTTCCCAGACCGGCCGAGTATGATAACAAGAATATGGAAATGCGAGTCAGGGCAGCACGCGGGCGGGGCGGGGCGGGGCGCGGGGCCACTCCCGGACACAAAGCAGAGTGCATTTAAGCCCTCGCCCAGATGGACGCCGCAGATACAGCGACCGACAGGGACAACCCAGGAGAGGAAAAAGGGGGCAAGCAACACAAAACACGATCCATTACGCTTCAATTTATTTTTATCTACGACGGCGGCGGCGGCGGCAACGCACAAACGCATCACGAAAACTATTTTACTACTTGTTCCTGTAACGAGCGCGGCGCGGCGCAGCGCGGCTCGGTGCAAGTCGGCGCACTTATTCCTATTCGTTGTTGCGGCCCGAGAGAGCACTGCCCTCCAACGCATGCACATATTACACACACACACACACGCACGCACACACACTCACACAGAGTGCCGCGGGAGCAGAGCTCCGACAATTAGCCAGGCCACAATTTGTCTCTGGCACATGTCACCCACGCGGGCAGCACTCGCTTGCAGCGCGAAGACGGCGCGGGGACCGCGAGGTGCGACAGAGAGAGAGAGAGAGAGAGAGAAACGGCGAGCAGAGCCTTTCCGCGGAGCAGGAGGAGTGAGGACAGTGTGACAGTGCGGCGACAAGCGCACGGCGAACGAATCACGCCTGTTTGTGTGAGTGTGTGTGTGTGTTTGATGTTGTTCGTCTTCCTCGTAATTAATATCGACATGTGGGTGGCTTCGAGCCACTGGCTTCCCTCTCCCCTCCGCGGCGCCTCGCGGTCTGGTCGTCTGGCCGGCCGTCCGGTGCCGTCCGGCCCACCAGGCCGGCCTTTCGGGCCTCTCGGGCCGCCTCGCCTCGCGTCCCTCGCTTGGGCCCTTCAGGCTACTCTACCTTACACTGTTCACAAAAAGCGACACCACAAAAAATAACCTAACAACAAAAACAAGCTGGGATGCTGCTACGTGGCCGCGGGCCGACGCGCACAGGGAAATAATTAATACCTGTACTAAAAGCGGGGGGCGGTACTACGCGGCACAGCGTTTCCAATTCCAATAAATTAAAGAAATGACTTCATTACATGCAGGCAGCATCCCCCTGGGCCCTGCACGGCCCTCCACGGCCCTCCTGGGCCCCGCGTCGTGTAGTCCTGAGCAGCATCGTTTATCGACAGCAGCCTGCACTGCAAGGCCAGGCCCGGCCAGGACCCCCGGCCAGGGAAGGGGAGAGAGAGGGAAGCTAGTCGGAGACAGCATTCTTCAATCGTCATTCCTATTGCCGCGGGCCCGGTAACGGTCCGCCCGATGAGTTCGCGAGGTGCATTCGAGGCGCCTGGCTGGCTGCCTGGCTGGCTGCCTGGCCGCCAGGGCCTTTCGGGAGCCTCGGGGGACGCGCCATCGCCGTGGACGCGCCGCGGACGCGCGGACGGCGCGGGTAGTAATGACGGAGGCCTGGGCACGGCCTGGCCGGCCGAATCCGCGGCGTCATCACACAC